TTTGGTCCGTTTTCCCTTTTTGATAGGCCTTTAACTTGATTGTGTCAAAACGCAAGTGAGATTGTCTCATACCTATAAAATATATAAATTTTCAACCATCGATGGAAAAATTCGACAAATAAAAAATCTGAGATCCAAAATCTAAATTTGCACTTTACAGCAGGCAAGCTTAAGATTTTATATTGATAGCCATTAAGAAGGGTGGGTGCTTGAAATATATGTTTCCTATATAATTTTATAAATCTCAGATACAATTTGCAACTTTTAAAGCAGGAGAGTTAGTTAAAAAAAAAAAAAAACACAATAAGAATATGAATCGAGCGACGCTGCTTGTATCGATTGGCCTCCTAACTCACTAAAATCTTTAAACAAAATTCTTCAACCCTTAAAGTAGTGCATTTTTAAGTGTATTGCTATGACAACATAAGTATCAAAATCACAAAATATATTTTGAATTATTACCTCTTTTCGAAAAAAAATATTATCAATTCTCGAGCTTCTCGACTCTACGCAGTCAGTCGAAAAGACTCACGTAAATACACACTGTGCCATCAAAGGGGTAGTTAGTGTGAGAAGAAACATCATCATCATCCTTGTGTTATCGCTGCACCGGCCATTAATATTTTTCAAAATTAAAAAAGGTTGTTTCTTCCGAACAAAGGGGTGGATAAAATCCGAGATCGGACTAAAAAATTGCAGGGTTTAGGGACCCCAGGAGGGCTTCATACCTGAAAATATGATATGTTAAAAACTATTTAACAAATCAAACCACAATAAAAAGGGTGACTTATAAAAATAAACCAACAATAACGTGCGTCTTATACCATTTCCTCCGACTTCCGACACGATTCACTAGCAATAGGCGACCTTTAAAGCAGGGGTTGAAAGGGTGGCTAGGGTTTACGTACTTAAATCTTTAATAAACCTTTGACATCTACACTTAGGCATCCCTAGTAATTAAAAAAATTGTGAAAAACACGCCAGAAAAAGGTTAAAAAAACGATTTTCATTGAATAAACACAATTCAGACGGCAAGAGGCGCAGCTGATCTGCTGATTCAAGAGTCAAGCAGGGCTGCCAACTTATGAAACTAGATTTTCAAGTTTGAGCCTTCACTGCTTGGTCAGAATACTGGTGGCAACATTTTTCTCTCGACAGATCTTTTGTGAATTTATCTACCTGCGATTTGATTGGATAAAAGTGACGTGTTTACAATTCTTCCGCGAAGATATTACGCTTCAAAACCGAAAAAACAGTGGGGTAGATCAGTTTTTTCAGTTTAAATAAGAGATATTTGTTTTAAAACTTTTTACAATGGACATATTTTGAATCCTTGCTAAATTCCGCGTCGATTGATGTGTATATCATTATTATTTGACTGATAAATAGCATTGAAAAATAAGAACAATTGTAAAATCTAGGGTTGCTTGACTTCGGCGCTCGGAGGCCGTGACGTCATCGCGCGCAGTGAACACAATTTTTCGCGACGTAACCCCTGACGATTATCAGAACTTGATTTTTCATTTTTACAATAATCATTGTTCAGCCATAACACCCTTAAATAAAAACAGCGCGGTGATTTATATCTGACCCTGTCTCCAGCAATTTCCCGCACACTCGGCTGCTGTGCGAAGAAGAAATGATGCACGACCTGCAGCGGCGTCTTGCTTGATCTGGTCGGTGCGCAGCGAGACCATTTCTTATATATTCCCTCGCACTCATCCGCTGCCCATTCTCTCGCCTCGCTGACGATACAAAAGACCGACCCCTGCACGCCTCCAATCGCACCCTTGTTTGACGAAGAACATGTGAAAAGATGCACTTTCACACCTTTTTCTGCTTAATTTTTTTTTGTATCACGCCATGAACTAAGATAAAAGCTGAATAGAAGTAGTACAATAGTATAAATAATATTAATAATTGAAAACTTATCACACATGAAATCAAAAATATTTCTCCTTTTTTTTAAATCAATTAATTATCAATTTTGTATTAAAAATTAATAATAAGGCATGTTTTTTTATGTTCTCCTTCAATTATGGATATATATTAATTTTAAAAATTAGTTTTTAAATAAATATTAATGTCAAATTAATTTTTTTTTCTTTAATTAATAACAAATTTTAAAAATTTTGTGGTAGAATTTCACGATCGAGGGTTGATTCATGGTGATTTGAATTTAAAATCGGCTTTTCCTCGATGGGTTTTATGTGAGTTGTTTATTGTTTCAAAAGATATAGAAGCAAGCTGAATTCTTAATAGCCATTAAATTAAATATTATTGTATTTCAAAGCAACTTGCGCTTTATTTATTATTTCATTATTTGCATCATACACTAATATGACAAAGTAATACTAACAAAGGGTCATCGCATCACTTTCCCGACTCGCTAAACTTCACATAAATGTAAACTTGAATAGTGCATGCATCAATATAATGCGCTCGAACAAACGCAAATTTAACGACTTAATAAACCGCACTGGCGGCGAAACGGCAGCTTCTGAATATACATAGAAGCACATAAGAGCAAGTAAGTAGTTTTAGTGCACTCTAGCATAGGTCTCTATTTGGACGGCGTTGCGCAAAAGCAATAACTCCCCATCTGGCCGCGAGTGCTGATTAAACTATGCACATTGTGCGCTGCTCTCTCTCTCTCTGTGTTTATGTTATTATTAAACTCGGCGCGGCGTGCAAAAACAAAACATCCCGCGCGTCATGATTAAATTAGCCCTGGCCATTGTGACCCTCGATGCTGCCACGGAGCATTTCTCTACATTGCGTTTTAATACCACGCACCACCCCCCGGCTTTTAACTTGTTACCAATAAAATGATTATTATTATTATTAAATGCTCCAGGGATTGGTTGCGGTGACACAGGGGCCGACCGATAGTGCTGGCTTTTTAGAATGAGTCAAGTGCAAGGGCTATTCATAATCGATGTCGCAAAACCATTTCACGTGTCTCTTCATATTTATTAGCTTCTCTCTTTTTTTTTGTGAATTAGGAGCTCCAAAAATAATTATTATTTTTTTTTTTTTTTATGATTGAAAATTTGAAACCCAAATTTAAAATGGAAATGAAGAGATCGGGCTTTTTCTCATTGCAAAAGTTGTTTTTATTCGCAAACAAAACCGCTTTTATTTTTGAATAAAAACAAATTTTGCAACGATCTCTTCATTTCCATGATCATCTTCTCAATAGTCAATTTTTTCAAACAAAACCAAATTTAAAATGATTAGTCTTCAATAATTAAGATATCTTTATATACACAAATTATTAATATGGTTAAAATAAAATTATTTACAAATAAAATTGAGATAATAGGAGAAATTTAGGCAAGTACGCATGCGAAATTAATTAAAATTCATCATTCCATTAATTGATGTAGATTGTTTAATTTTTTTGTTCGCGTTTTGTAATAATTTTTTTACATAATTATGACTTATTGTGAGTTAAAATTTATTTTTAATTCACTGATACAAAACTACATTGATCACTAAAAATATTCTGAAAGAAAAATTTAATCGTTTGAGCAATTTGCTCAGGGTGAAGCAAAAATATTTTGACGAAAAATCTTGGGACGTTGGCGCGATTGAAGAGCCCTTGGCCATCAGGAAGCAGCGCGGGCCACGAGGGCGGAACGAAGGGTCAATATTTGCCAATGCGAGTAACATGGTCCGCAGTCGTTGTGCAAATAGCCCCGAGTCTCGGTACCGTGTTGATGATATCCCAATATATCGTCGTCGCCCTTTCGGCAGGGCCTGCCTGGTGCCAACTTCCGCTCTCGGACTTTTCGCTCCTTATTCGACGTCGCACGATATAATATTGCGACGTAGGCGTCGCGTTTGGCTTTTCCCTCGCGTCTCCTATTTCATACATCAGATTGTCAAATTACTGTGAGCTGCCGTTGACGCGCAGGCAGGGGACTCGGTGTTTTGCGAGGGCGGCAGTCGCGCGACGAGATTAATGAGGGACGAATTTTTCTTTCTTTGTTGGCGCAATATTCCGCGGCTTTTGCTTCGGGGCGCGGAAAGGCGGAAATTGAAATATTTCCCTCTGACGAAAGCACGGCAGGAATAATTTTGTGAAATTTTTACTTATATACTTCGTCTCCACGAAGTAAATTTCTATAACTGTCTCAATGAAATTTAAGTGAATTTAATCAATATCTTGAAATAATCTATGCTTTTTATACTTCAAAAGATTTTAGTAAATTATATGATTTATTTATGAGCTCGAAAGACACAACTAATGAGCAATATAATCATATACACCGTACATTTCGAGTTATTTTGAAACAGAACTTGCTTCATATTTACAAGATTTTTCTGATTTTTATAATATTTGATCCAAATAAGGTCTAGGAAAAGCAAAATTTTCATTATTTAACCTGTGTTTTCTCAAAAAAGGCAAAAATGGCCATTCTGAAAATGACAGAGCCGATGTAAAATTTAACGGGCCACATTTTTTTCCAGTACCACCAAAATAATCGGAAATGTGAAATTGGTTACACTTTTTATGAAACCTCGGTAATGATCTGTGATTAAAAGAAAGTTTTAATGCGTTTTGCTAGAAGACATTTTTATGCTTTTTAAACATTATATGACATGAAAATTTCTTCAATTTTCCGAAAAATAACATAGACTTTAACTTTCAGCAAGTGTGCAAATCTTGCGGAAAAATGCAAGGGAATGCTATCCTCAAAAATTTAAAAACCGTCGCATTTTTACAATTTATTACTGCATTACATAAATCATAACTAAAATTTGATACTGTCATTATTTTTCTACATTCTTCCCGAGAGGTCATCAAACTAAAACACGCTTCTTAGTCTTATTCTTAATTTCTTATTACTATTTCCCTCCCTCTGCCTTGCAACTAGTTTTGTTTACTTTTTGAGAATGCCGAGGGGATGAATGATATGTAATCTATTTTTCTTTGCATTTGCATTACAGCGCGAGAAACAGATAATTATGTGAAAAACTTGTCTTGCACCTACCTTGTGTTGTCTTCATCGCATTCCTGAGTGTCCAGTAGCTGCGCATTCCAGTCGTCTGTCATCCGGTTTGGCCAAATATATATACTGTCTGTGTTACGCTGGCCGCACTTTGATCCTTGCATTCCTTGCTACGATTTTCGCTCATTCCTGTTTCGATCCCGTCATTCCGCAATCCGGCGAGCTGAATGCTGAACAAATTCAAAGAAAAATTTAATATGAATAACCTTGAATTTAATTCAACGCTTGAAGTTTTATTTTTAATTTTGAAATTTACTAAAAATTACATTGACTTTTAGATATAAAATTTTAATAGCTGTGTACATGATAATTTTGAGTGGTTAGTACGTTGAGACCCAATTTCATAAACACAATGGTAGTGATTCCTGAATAATTTCATCTTACTTGTCATTTTTCCTTTCCAAGGACTTATTGTGTTGACAGAGGAATGCAAAAAGCGAGAGAGTGTGTGGGCGACCGGCCGAGCGCCTCCGACCCTCCCTCTTTTCCTTCTCGCTCGCCGGCAAGAACAAGCGCCGGCTTGTCTCAGACCAGACTTCTAGATCCAGAATTTTTTCGCTTGAAGAAAAATCGGGCGAAACTGACAGAAATCAAACTGTATTCGCCGAATCACGAAGAAAATTGGATTTTCTCACCGCGGAGACCACGCTGACGAGTCCGCGCTCATGACTTCACCCCAGGTAGGTCCCATTGAGGCCCATAATTAATCGAATTGCACGTATTTTTCTATGTGCACGGCGCGCTTGTTCTTGTCAAGCAGTAATAATTTTGTAAATCTTAGTACATACAAGACGCGAGACCCCACTGAACGTAGCTCAAATGGAGACTAAAGACTCTTTGCTTTTCCGCAAGATAAAATATTTAGTTTTAAGCGCGTTTAATATCGGTGAAATAATTAAATAAGCGTGGAGAATTATTAATATTAGCTTCACCTTTACTTCACCTGTATTCTCCTCTCGCCCCTTTTTCTTGGTGCTCGCGCTTCCGGCCGCAGTCGCAAAAATGGCGGCGCTGTCGCTTGTGTGATCCGCGTGATGCTGGCATTTTCTCCAAGAAAGCGGCTCTCTCAGGGTTTCTCAGACCTGTCCACCGCATGGAAATTGAGGCCTGACCCCACCCTGACCCCAAGGTACTGTTTCAACGGCGCCGCGTCTCATAAATCGCGTGCGTTTTTCAGTTGAAAAATTGCTTTTCGATTCACCGACTTTGTTTCAACATTCCTGAACTTGCTCGTGAAATCACATCCAGTTTTATGTTGACGGAGTGCGGCTATTCAAAAAATGTCTCAATTTCAATGCTAATTTTGGACGTTAAATTTGAATTATCAAAATTCTAAATACCTGCTCTCTCGTCTCTCGTCTCATTGTTTTGATTTAAATATAAAAAAAGTACATTATAATGCACTTTTAAATACAAAAAGATATGAGAGTAATGCACTTTTAGTTTCCTCTTTAAAATAAATTATTAACTTTTGAAAATTTTAATCAGGTCATTCGGACTACAAAACAACAAGTGGGCAGCGGCCACGTGTTCAACCTTGGCTGGAACACATGATGCTTTCTTCAAAAAACGCTCGCCGCCGGCTTTGTCTCCAACAACTTCGGCAACGCCATGGACATCAACCAGGGATATCGACAATACTTTTTATGGTGAGAATAATCCTTGTCCTTTTAATTTTCTCAGGATGAATGAAATCTCAGTTTTTTTTTATTTGTTTTATTATTTTTTCTCTTGCATGTTGAATTTGCATATAGCCAACCAATAATAAATCTTCAACCAGCTTTACTCCAATTTAAATAAAATATTTTTTATTTATTTTAAAAAGGGTTACAAGCGGATTAAATACTTTGCATAGAAGTTTCTAGTTCTATTATTTTTTTTAAAGTATAAGAAAGGGAACTCGTCCAAATTTTTACACTCTTGGATCGAATTTATTTTAATAAATTCTCAATTCTTTAGGCCTCAACCAATCGAATGACAACATTGAGCGGCAGAAACGGAAAAATGAGTGATGGCCTACCACCATCAGTCACCAGGCAAACCAATGCCAGTCGGCAAGTCGAAATCTCCCCAAGGTTGTTGCAGAGAAGTGAGCAGGTCAGTGCAATAGGAGTTTTTTTGCAATTTTATTTCATAGAAGCGCTCTGGCCAAAGATTAGTCACACACCTTAACTCTTGAAACAAATCAAACTAATTCCAAGGATACAATTTTCATGAATTAAATTCTAATTTAATTAGAAAATCTCATTTAATCACAAAACAAATTCAGAAATTGTTAATTATCATTAAAATAAATGCAAGCCTTATTAAATTTAAGATTATTACATTAAATATGAGAACAGCATCCTCGGCTTTTTATAAATGCAATTTTAATTAGAATTATTAAATTCAATCAGGTCGAAGAGACGCCACTTGTCAACAGTGTTTGAGGACTTGGCAGACACCGCCAGTGCCAGGCTCTTGGTCAAGTTTTGAAACCTGCAGAATACAAGAGCTCCTATGACCTGAAGTAGGTTTAAATGTATTCTGCATGCGACGATCAAGACAAGTAAAGTGACTAGGTTGTGCATTTGCCACAGATAGGCGCAACATCCTCCACCCACTTTTGCCTGAGAGCCCAATGTTTTCAGTTTTTTTACACTGTTTAAATTTAAAGTTTAATGAATAGTTATGTGGGTGAATTTTGTTATTTTTACTACAAAAAATGTATAAATTAAGCAACTGCACTTATGCCAATTATCTTTTTGTAATGGAGTGGCGGCACCCCCGCAACAGATACCGGTCCAACGGAGCGGACAACAGCTGAAGGCCGCCCCTAACAGGGGACGTTGCCCGCCACCGCTGGCAATGCGTCGTCTGAATGGCTTGTGTGTGAATAATGCCGAGGCATCACAACCACCCATTGAGCGTCTGCATTCGCCATGCGGGAACACGATTTGGTGTCCAGGGCTTGGTTGCGACTAAAGTCCTGTGTCTGAACGCATGGGAGGTGCGGAGAATTCAGATGACACTGATGCTGACGTGGTGCACTCATGAGATTGAGTTGTCATGAGTGTGGCAATGGGCGTGAAAGAGGTTGGGTTCGTTGTTGGCACCCTTGTGTAGTCCAGTATTTTTGGTCACGCCGGGTGCCTCCTCGAACACCTTCCACGTTGCGCAACCGGGAGCCCCTGCCCCCGAACAATAGCTGGAAGTGAGTCTCAGTACCGCGGATGTCTGCTTCAGTTTGCTGGGATGTCAAACCACTCCACTTTAATACTTCTTTATTAAAAATGGCCAAATAACTTATTAAAACTAAATGCATGTGTCTTTGAACTTTAAGGATGGCTTTTGCATGAACAGTGAGTGAAGTGCAAGTGGTTATTTTTTATTTTTTACCAAAAAAACAATCTAAACGAATCTTATTTAAACTGGCCAAGTCAAATGTATTGTTCTCTTGTAACTTTTCCAAAATTGGAGTGATGAAAGATGATTTATAATAGGACCGCATAATGCAGAAAGTTTCTGTATACAAGCTAATGAATGATTCTGAATGCGCAGCAAACTAAATACAATTTTTTTAAATTCCATCATCAAATTTTCTGGCCATATCTTTTGTATCGGAGAATATGAATGCAAGGATTAAAAATTTGAAGTATTGAGCAGCTGCGGCGCATGAAAAAAAATGATAATATTGATTGTTAATGCTTTGTACCCGGAATATTAAATGTGACAAAATCAGTTTGCTAAGTGTTCTAAAAACGGACTGAAATATAATTTCTTGTTAGATAAAGTAGGTAAAATGCATGTTAATATAAATAGTTAAAATAGTCTTGTATTTTAAAAGTGACCAAGTGTTAGTGAGAAAAGTTCAGTAGTGCATGTGAAATAGTTTAAGTGTTTGGGGGTAACACATTTTTATTATTAGATTTTTCTTTAAAGTGAGAATAATTTTGGAAGTTCTTTAGTTTATTTCCACAGATCCTGCCTGAGCGTGTCAGCTTGGAAGGGCGGTTTTGGCTTCAGCACCAATGGTCTGACCCTCGGACCGCGATGCCTCCTTGGACAACAGCGTGCGAGGACGCTTGCCATCTTCACCCTCAGCTTTTTCCAAAAACTCTGGAAAAGCCGTGACCGACAGCCAGACGGACGTCTTTGAAAAAAAATTCGGTGAGATTTCAATTTTATATTTCAAGCATCAGTATATTAGTTTTTCGAAGTATTTTATGTTTGCAATCTACATATCAAATTTTGCACAAATCAAGCAATTTAGAGTTGAATTGCAACCACTTAAAAATACTATCTGGGGCTTATAAAATTGAGTATCTCTCATAATTATGCAACTTACTTCAGTGATTAAAAATTTCCAATTTTTTTTAAAGAAATAATATTTTTCAAGCATTTTTATTAAATGAAGAATCCACAAGATTAATAATAAAGTGTAAAGAAAAATTAAATATGAATAACCTTGAATTTAATTCAACGCTCGAAGTTTTAATTTTAATGTTGAAATCCAACGTAGGTCATCAGGCGAACCAATGCCTGTCGGCCAGTCGAAATCTCCCCAAGGTTGTTGCAGAGCAGTGAGCCAGGTCAGTGCATAAGGAAATTTTTTGCGTTTCTATTTTATAGAAGCGCTCTCGCACACCTTAACACTTGAATCTTGAATCAAATCAATATCCTAAATCAAAATAATTCAAAGGATACAATTTTCATGAATTAAATTCTAATTAAATTTTAAAATCTCATTGAATCATAAAACAATTAATTCAGATATTGTTCTCATTAAAATAAATGCAAGCCTTATTACATTCAAGATTATTATATTACATACGAGAAAAGCATGCTCGGCTTTTTATAATTGGAAATTTAATTAGAATTATTAAATTCAATCAGGTCGAAGCAAAACGCCACTCGTCAACAGTGTTTGAGGACTTGGCAGACACCGCCAGTGCCAGGCTCTTGGTCAAGTTTTGAAACCTGCAGAATACAAGAGCTCCTATGACCTGAAGTAGGTTTAAATGTATTCTGCATGCGACGATCAAGACAAGTAAAGTGACTAGGTTGTGCATTTGCCACAGATAGGCGCAACATCCTCCACCCACTTTTGCCTGAGAGCCCAATGTTTTCAGTTTTTTTACACTGTTTAAATTTAAAGTTTAATGAATAGTTATCTGGGTGAATTTTGTCATAAATTTTATTACAAAAAATGTATAAATTAAGCAACTGCACTTATGCCAATTATCTTTTTGTAATGGAGTGGCGGCACCCCCGCAACAGATACCGGTCCAACGGAGCGGACAACAGCTGAAGGCCGCCCCTAACAGGGGACGTTGCCCGCCACCGCTGGCAATGCGTCGTCTGAATGGCTTGTGTGTGAATAATGCCGAGGCATCACAACCACCCATTGAGCTTCTGCATTCGCCATGCGGGAACACGATTTGGTGTCCAGGGCTTGGTTGCGACTAAAGTCCTGTGTCTGAACGCATGGGAGGTGCGGAGAATTCAGATGACACTGATGCTGACGTGGTGCACTCATGAGATTGAGTTGTCATGAGTGTGGCAATGGGCGTGAAAGAGGTTGGGTTCGTTGTTGGCACCCTTGTGTAGTCCAGTATTTTTGGTCACGCCGGGCTTGCCTCCTCGAACACCTTCCACGTTGCGCAACCGGGAGCCCCTGCCCCCGAACAATAGCTGGAAGTGAGTCTCAGTACCGCGGATGTCTGCTTCAGTTTGCTGGGATGTCAAACCACTCCACTTTAATACTTCTTTATTAAAAATGGCCAAATAACTTATTCAAACTAAATGCATGTGTCTTTGAACTTTAAGGATGGCTTTTGCATGAACAGTGAGTGAAGCGCAAGTGGTAATTTTTTTTTTTTTTTTTTTTTTTTTTTACCAAAAAAACAATCTAAACAAATCTTGTTTAAACTGGCCAAGTCAAATGTATTGATTGTTCTCTTGTAACTTTTCAAAAATTCGAGTGTTGCAAGATGATTTATAATAGGACCGCATAATGCAGAAAGTTTCTGTTTTCAAGCTAATTAATGATTCTGAATGCGCAACAAACTAAATACAAATTTTTTTAAATTCCATCATCAAATTTTCTGGCCATTTCTTTTGTATCGGAGAATATGAATGCAAGGATTAAAAATTATAAGTATTGAGCAGCTGCATGCGGTGCATGAAAAAAAAATGATTGTTAATGCTTTGTACCCGGAATATTAAATGTGACAAAATCAGTATGCTAATTGTAAAAACGGACTGAAATGTAATTTCTGGTTAGATAAAGTAGGTAAAATGAATATTAATATAAATAGTTACAATAATCTTGTATTTTAAAAGTGACCAAGTGCTAGTGTGAATAGTTCAGTAGTGCATGTGAAATAGTTCAAGTTTTTGGGGGTAACACATTTTTATTGTTAGATTTTTCTTTAAAGTGAGAATAATTTTGGAAGTTCTTAAGTTTATTTCCACAGATCCTGCCTGAGCGTGTCAGCTTGGAAGGGCGGTTTTGGCTTCAGCACCAATGGTCTGACCCTCGGTCCGCGATGCCTCCTTGGCAGGGTTTCTGAGCACAAAATTTTTCAGGTGCTCAAATTCATTTGCTCCTGCTCCTGCTCACTTCTACAGTGCTCCCTAATTTCTGCTCCTGCTCCTGCTCACCTCAGGAGTGCTCACCTACATCTGATCGCGAGCATGCTCCCTCTTGGGGTGCTCGCGAGCAGATGCTCGTGAGCATGCTCACTGAAGGAGTGCTCAATGCTGCTCCGAGCAAATTTTGCTCCTGCGATTTGCTCCCGAGCAGTGTCATGCTCATGTTTGATATGAAAATTCGGCATGTAGGTTTTTAATTAATTCTGAAAGAATATTTATTAAGCCGATATAATTTAGCAAAAGTCAAAGACATCAATTTGATACCAAATTAAGACCATATATGAAAAATTTAATATAAATTAAAATAATAAAATTGTTCCCATAAAATGATTTAATTATTATTTAAAAAGACGAATTGTTGCCAGGAGCACATAAATATGAAGCAGGAGATTGAGCTCTTTTTAAATTATGTACAGCGGAAAAGACACAAGAGGACTGAAGGTTTGCCAGGAGCACATAAGGTGCAGCAGGTCGAACTCAGGGCTGAAAGGGGTGTAGGCGGAGCGTCAGAGCATAGGGATAATGCATTGCGATTATAAAGCGTCCTCCACTGGTTTTTGTTGATCTCACAGTGTAGAGTATAGATTTAGTATGAAATTCTGTTATTGTAGTAAAATTTTAAAGCAAATGTGAGCAGAAGGAGCATCTCGAGCATATTTAGTAAATTTTGCTCCTGCTCCTGCTCACTTCTAAAAAGTGCTCCCTATTTTCTGCTCCTGCTCCTGCTCACCTCAGGAGTGCTCCCCTATATCTGCTCGCGAGCATGCTCCCTTTTGGGGTGCTCGCAAGCATTTGCTCGCGAGCATGCTCACTACAGGAGTGCTCAATGGTGCTCGCGAGCAAAATTTTGCTCAATCTTGCTCGCGAGCAGCTCATGCTCAGAAACCCTGCTCCTTGGACAACAGCGTGCGAGGACGCTTGCTATCTTCACCCTCAGCTTTTCCCAAAAACTCTGGAGAAGCCCTGACCGACAGCCAGATGGACGTCTTTGAGAAAAAATTTGGTGAGATTTCTATTTTATATTTCAAGTACCAGTATTTTAGTTTTTCCGAACTATTTTATGTATGCAATCTACATATCAAATTTGGTATGAAACAAGCAATTTAGAGTTAAGTGGCACCCACTTAAAAACTATCTTAGGCTTTTATAATGCATCTTAAGTTCATCAAGTCTGATACTAGAGATTAATTATTCTATTTATTTTGCATAATTTTATGAGTTAAATTAATAATTTTAATTTTACCGTCATCATTAATATTAATTTAATTCTTAAAAAAAATGAACTAAGTCAACTGCAGTTCTTCTTTTGCGCTCTTTTACTATAATTATTAGAATAATTAATTAAAAAAAAAGAAGAACTTCTTTTATTTAATTGATAGAGCACAGTTCATTGAAATAAAGTATATCAAGAATAAAATTTGCTTGTAATATTGGCACTCGAGGAGATGATCATCAAAATATTGGAAAGTAATAAATTTGCCAATAATGCTTATCTACTTGTACAAAAATTGAGCACAATGAGGAAAATATTACGCACACTGATCATAATATAGTTCTAATTATTGGATGCAATTCTGAAAACTTGATTATACAATATAAATATATTCAAAAAAATTTTCTTTATTAGTTCATTGTTGATATGCCCTAAAGACCTATTTCAATTTTTAATCTACCACTCAATCACGTGAGGTGGAAGAAATTTTTGTGAATTTTTGTTGCTTTGAGTTTGAATTAAAATGGCAAATTAAACAGTTGCCGCAGCCATCTATCATTCTCTGTTGGTGGACGTAAATCACAAATAATGGTGAAGTGCATAATTCATCATGCGAATTCCATTTCTGCACTTGATTGTACTTGCCATTTGTACATTATTATCTATCTATGCAGTAATAACACAACAAATGACTGCAATGAAAATTCGTAATGGAATCCTTCAGTTGGGGTTGAAAAGCAGTGGCCGGGTCTCTTGGTGTACCTTTCACAATAAAATTTACATTTCTCGTTTTGTCGCGTGCAAATATGCTTTCCATTTGAATTGCGTGATAAACACATGAAACTTGCGCGCGCTCGGCTTAAAATTAATGAGACAGGCCCCGGGCATTATTCAGCCGTTTGTTTGTAATAAATATTTAAGCCAGTGGCAAACGCCACGACCCACCAGCGGTTGATAAAAATTCTTTAGGAAAGAAAAAAAGCCGAATCCAAACATTTGCTCTTTTGATGTACGGCTTTTAAAGTAGGCCCTCGCTCGCTGCTTTTTATAGAGTTACATTTATTTTTCGCCCGAGTGATCAGGTTTCAATTTGCTGGGAAAACTGCCGGCTCTTCCAATAAAAAACGTCACAAGTTAAATAAATTTTCACTCTACGTCTCTCGCCAGCAGATATTAGTTTTCCTCGCGTCAGTTCCATATTTTATTTCGCTCATGCCGGCGGCGCAAAAACACAATTTTCGGAAATCAAAGGCGGGCTGCACGACATCCGACAAGCTGTCTCTAATGACGATAATCAGTTCGGTCCGAGAGACACGCGTCGTTTGCATATGCTCGCAGCTGGAAATTGTCGCAGAAAATGAGAAGCCACTCGAATGGAAACGCGTTTCGGAGAAAAACGTCTTTACCAGCGGGGAAAGAGAAGCGTCGCCGACTGGAAATGATAATAAAGTGCGTGGCAAATTTGGAACGAAAACATTGGTGATGGAGCTAAACAGAATCGGAGACGAGTTTATGAAATATTGAATGGCCCAGAGGAGATATATCGACGCACCACCCGACTCCGTTCATGAATAAAAGAAAAGCTTGCGCAGGAAGAGAGAAAAATAGGATGCGTATTTTTGGGTTTTTCACGGGCTGCTTTGCAATGAGAGTGGATCGTTTTATTGCAGACCCTCATTATTATCGGTGTATTGTCTGTGTCATTTTTAATTGGGTGAAATGGACCGTGGATTTTTGTTCATAGGCAGGGGGGACAGGGAGAAAAATTCACAAACCACTATTTAAGCAACCCAGAAATTGTAGTTATTTATGTAGTTTTTCCTTATATTGAAATTTATTATGAAAAAGTAAAAATTATTGCTACTCGTTTTTTTTTATTATGCTTGCATTTTTTTTGATGAAATAATTTATTTATTGACGTTATACTTAAAAAATATTTTACATTAAATATTTTGTCCAAATCTAATTATTACATGCTTTTATATAAAAATGAAAAACAACAATTAATATTAATAATAACATTTAAAGCAGCTAAATGATAAAATCACTTCATAAACTTTTATAATCAGAATCAAGATAATAAAATCTGCTTTTCTTTCTGTAATATTAGGCCTGAAGCTTAATAATTTAATTTCTTTTGCATACAATTTGAAACTACTAGACATGATTTTACTTCATCAGAAAAAAACCACTTGCTTCAGATTTATTCAATTTTTCTTCCAAGTAATCTACAGATGTGACCTCTTTATTCAACATCACTTTTTTATAATTTTTATAGAAATAATCTAAAGCAAAAGAAAAGGAGTGCCTGTCAGAAAAATAAAATCAAAGAATTTATTAAATCACTTGCGAGCTATAAATTTCATCGCTCGTTTCTGTTTTCTTTTGAATTCGACCGCTTGAACAAACAACCAAATGAATAGTAAATAAGGAAGCATATAATATGCAGATTACAAATAGTGGAATTTTGATTACTATTTGAGTAAACAGTTAATTATCAAAATGAAATTTACACACATATCCATTCGTCGTGTCCGCCATATAATTATGCAAAGCGATTGGTTTGCTCTGGACGCACTCGCAGCTTCACTTCGCTGTTTCCTTTCCTAACTCAATATACCCACCCACCCTCACTGGAATTTTTGCCTGGTTGACATTTGCCTTTCGCAAACATTTGAGCACGCAGTAATGAGCGAAATTGACTAACAAGCCCACAAAGCGGCAGTTGCTGGAAAATAAGTCAACAGTGAACCGCGCCGCTCTCGACAGGTGCTCTTGCTCGGATATGTAGGCAACCCAGCGACGCGCACACAAAACGCACCTTTCAGAGTTTGCTCCGAACAGCACGACTCGCATGCACATATGTGCTCAATTTTCCGCGAAATAATTTGCTGTGCTCTCGGCTGCGTGCGTCTGTAATATCTTTGCGGTGCGATGTGAGGTATGGAGTAGAAAACAACACGCCAGTTTTCTCTCTTTTGCCCAGGCGCTTCTTTGATGCTGGGTAACTCAGAAATTAGATTTGAGTTCGTTGGACCAAGTTTGGACCAGACTTGTTTGTCAAAACTAGCACCGCAAAGAGGAAATTGACATATTATAAATAAATGCAATGTTAATTAATTTAAGCTTCCAAATTGTTTAATATATTAGTTGCTTACTTTTTTTTTAAATTCTAGCCTGATTATTAATTATTATTATTGCAACTCTTTTTTTTTAAACCGCAATATTTAAAGAAGATGCTCTAAATGTTTTATTCGAAATATAATATTTTATAATTTATTCACATCAGGTGTGGGAACGTCTGATGGAAAATGATTTTTTTTTTAGTTCAAGACTGGATATTTTTTATAAACTAATATTTTCATATCCAAGTTTTCAGCAGAGAATTAGCTAGATGGCTCAGTTTTGTCCGCATGGTATCAATTTTGTTGTTTTTATTAACAAGAGCTTTAAAATTAGGGGGAAAATGAATTCTTTTATTTTAATTTCTGCAATTAAAATAATACTATTTCTGTAAAAATAAAAATAAAATAGCCTAAAATATATTTTCATATACAGTCATATAAAGAGTTTCTAAAAATCTGCTAAAAATATGATTTTTTTTGCTACTGGAGCTTTGAATAATGGAGCATGATTAGTACTGCTGTTAACGTTTTTTTCCTCTAATATTTTAAATACAGCTCCTGCAACAATTTTTTTTTTTTTTTAAATCTGAAGACTTTGTGGAAAGCAAAACAACCATGGGGTGATCTGTGATCTTTCCATTATTTGCACCGAGCAGAAACGTTGAATCCGCATCGCTTCGAGCCATGAATGTAAATCCATTGAAAATTAATTTTCCTCATTCCTACCAGGTATTATTAATTTCTGCAGGCTTCCTTTGTGTGCTCAACTCTCGTTGAAAGACCACAGACCGCTCAACTGTTTAATTGGCCGGGGGGAAAAAATCACATTGGCTTATTTGGGAGCAGCTCCAATATTCGTGGCCGACGCGAAATTCACATTATTAATGCGCGTCAGCATTCAAATTCGTCATAGTCAGTCGAAAGTGAAATATTTGCTCTCCATCGTCTGAAATGATGAATGCCTTTTATTCTTCTGCGCTTGTTGTTGGTTGATTCGTTTCTTTCTTTTCTCCAACGCACGTACAAAAAGGTGTTTGCCAAAGTATTGTCGGGGAGAAAAAGAGAGAAAAACGAGAGACGCCTCCGCACAAAAGAAAAGGAAAGTGGGTGTTGCTCTGCCACAGCAAAAAACGAATCGCGCGGGCATTACTTTTCCTCTTGTATCTTTCCACAAATACATGGCGCACACACGGCACAAATATGGCATATATCATAAATTCAATTCGATATACAGCGCCTCGCCTCTCTTTTGTAATATATTTGTTTGATCTGCCGGGAAATGTTTCGCACACAAGTTCAACTGATATTGCGTTTCGTCTCAACACGGAACTTGGCCGTGCAAAAGAAATACTTGCATATCAAAATGTAAACAGACATACATTTCTGAAAAGTTACATCACTGTTAGATTTTTAAAGCAAATGGTGTGTGTAAGTTCAAACGGCTAACGCAGTGAACACATAATATTTTCTTAATAAGTAAAATGTACACTAGAAGAAAAAAACATGCATTTATTTTCCACTGCAAATAACTTCTTTAATGGGTTGTTGTTTATTTTAACTTTATATTTTTAATAATAATTTAATAATAATTTTTTGTGCAATGGTTTTGTTGGTGCAAGAACAACCCTTGTATGATAACTTTTTGGTGAATTACTTTTAGGTATTAATTTATTAATATGTTTCTTTTTCTGTTTGCAGGAACGGAGAATTCTCGGAGATGGCTTTAGGAGTGATTGAGTCAAGGGTGGGAATGCATCTGGTAGCGTCTCCTTCAAAGATTGCAGACGTTTACGCGGCAGCATGGCTGAAGTCCTTGCGGAGACATGGAAGGGTAAAGGAGGCGACGCCACTGTTCGAAACCGACCCTATTCTTTTTGGAGAGAAGAGGCCAGAACCGGCCTACTTGACTGCGAATTTTCTTCCTTTCAATCAAATTTGGTATGTAAGTTTGATTTTACGTTTTAACCTAAATTAAACAGAAGTTTGCTTTTTTGGTCTTTGAAATATAAATTAAAGCTGATGAACTTTTTAATCTGCAGGACCAAACTGACCGAGATCCTGTTGGAAGCGGCGTTGGGGTTGATGGGGTGAGCGGGTTCAAATATCGCTTTTAAACATGCAAAAAATGAAATTTATTCTTTATTTTTATTTTTTATTGAAAGATATTTCTTTGTTATTAATTGAATCTTGATGAATTTTAGTGGCGATGAGTGGAGTTCATTGGAACCCAATAATCCAAATTCAGCCCTGGACCTGCGAGACCTTTGTGATGATGCGTCAGCAAGCGAGCAAACCTGCCATCGTCGGCAAGCAACTGGAAGATGGCCCTGGACAGATTGGTGCCCTTGTCAAGACCAGCCATCGCATGACCTTCACTTCCAGGTAGGGTTTTACACAACTACCATTTTTCATTATGGTGACGGAGTGATGGGGTTTTGCCGCCCATGCCCCTTGTAATTTTTGCACTTTTTACCAAATTGCACTCTTAAAGTTCAGTTCAGGGTCTCATCTTTTCTCGTGGGTAGTTCTATTAAGTTTACATGCAAGCGTTCATGGCGAGGGATTAGATGCATTAAAATGCACAATGTGTTTTGATATCAAAACATTAAAATGTTACTTTTTTATATCGATCCTCAGAGTTGGTTTGAGGGGGCAAAATTTACTATTCGCGCAGAAAGTAGCTAAAATTTATATGTCTGCCATTTTTAGATGGATTCTGTGAACGAAATCAGACAAAATCTATGGCAATTTGATGCCTTTATGCATTTATTTTTTCTTTTAATAGGGATCTTGCCACTTGTATCTTGAAAGTAGTGCAGATTTGATGAACATAATAATGTCGATTGAAAGCAAAGAAAATAATAGTTAGTAGTTCTTCTAAACTTCACAGCCATATTCCAGTTTCATTACCTATAAAGTTGTGACTCGGATTTGTAAAATTTAAACTGAAAATTATGGGAACTTTTATTTTCTTTTGACCCGTTTTGACGCGGTGTCAACCGTTTTTGACCATTTATAGCAGGTTATAGTTGCCTTTAGTGTGTAGATGAATATTTTAAAGGTATTAAAATTAATTAAATTGCAAACTTTATCATTTTTCTTAAGGTGATTTTGAAAATTGATATTATGTCAAAAATAGTGCGTTTGTTCCCATTACCAAAGTTGTCAGGAATTAAACGCCCTAACTTTTGCAATTTAGACTGAAGTGGTACATCTACTAAATCTTTCACAAACATCCAGGTTTGCCTAAAATGATATAATTTACATTTTTATGCAACCTGCTTGACATATGTGCCCTTCAGGCTGCATATTCTTGAATATTTGCTTGAATTTTGGACTGAGGAGGTCCCAATTTTTGTCCTCTCTGTGTTGTTTTCTGCTAGTCAAATAAATTGAGAGACAAAAGTGGCGTTTAATTAGCTTGCTGCGCCACGCACTTCTTTCCCTTTCAAACAGTGTTTGACTGCGTCAACAACTCTCGCTCCACGTCTCATATTCATAATTTACGCGCAAATATTACAGTCGTGCTCTCTTTTATTACGGCGGAGAGAGAGACAAGAGACATCAGGCTGTGAAAGAGCGTGCGAAGAACCCGGCTCTCCCTGGTGCCTTGTAATTTTCGCCCGTCAAAAGGCAAATGAGCAAATTTCAGTTAATAATTAAAACACGCCGAAGAGACAAAGACAGAGCTGCCTGTTATCTCTCGGCACGCCGTCTTCTCTGTGACGACGGAGAAAGACGCGCAAAAAGGAGCGGAAAATGTGCAGCAAGCCAGAAAGTAAAGTATTTAACGACACCCACTGCCAAGCAGCAAAGTTCTGCAGCCCAAAGAGAGTTTTGAGGTGGCGCTAATTGTGACAAATGGAGCCCACGTGTGTTGTGTGCCGAGAGAGAGAAAGAGCGAGAGAACAAAGAATCTGCTTTTCCCTCTTTCTGTGCCGCTTGTTCCACAAAAGGCAGAAACCTCGTCAAGTCTCGCGAGACTGCTTTCAATTGTGCCGCCTCCGCCGCAATAACACGGCCAGCTTTTGAAAAAATAAAACGCAGTCGCAAACAAACAAGCGGCAAAGAAAGAAAGAGACGACCATTAGTCCTGCAGAAAAGGACTGAAATATTTACGGGCTAATTTTAAATGAATTGATTTCCCCGGTGAATGGGTGGGAAAAAACGCAATCAAGTCGGCGGATCTGGCCCGTGCATGGACAGACCCCTGCGTTGGAAATAAAAATAATGTCGCAGAAAGATATCAGCGTCTCTCTCTTTTTATTACTTTCTGCGTGCGTGTGTTTTTGTCCCCGACTTTTGGCTGCTGTATGATATTTTTATCGCCCTCAGCATGATGGGAAAACAGCGGCGTCTGCCAGAGAGCAATCAGTAATATGGATCTGCCGCCACCGACGGAGAGACTATCACAGTCGCCGACTTTCTTCTCGGGAATTAAATAGGTGGAGGAAAATTGAATGGAAAAGTGGAAGAGGCGGTTATTTGTGACTGAAAGGCCTCGCCAGTCCGAGATAGGCCGAAATTTGTTATGCTGCTGTGGTAGATTAGATATGAGCCGGCGGATCGCATAAATGCAAACCGCTCTCTCGGATTTGGCGGATGGCTGGGCTAGGCTGCACAGAGCACCACATTCTGCCATTCAATCAATTTGCGGCGAATGCGATTTTCGCTGCGGCAAAAGCCGTAAAGGGGATGCGGCGGCTGTTTTGTTATATGATCCACTGCCAAGAATCGTACCGCGGATTATAACGTGTCTATTTGTACTTCCGGGAATTCGTCAGATTGCGCAGTGATGCGGAATAAAAAAAGTCTGACAGTGAAAATATTGAAATGAAAATAAAACTAAAAATGCATTATTTTTCTTACTAAGTTACTTCTCATTCAAAATTAATCAAAGGAAATTTTATTGAATTTTTGTTTATAATTTTCTCTTTCTACATATCTGCATAATAATATTTTTTACAATTTTTTTCAACATTTTATATATATATCTACAATTTTTTCATTTTTTTGCTGCCTTGGCAATTATTAATTTTTTCTTCATTTGGTCAACTTTTTTAGCCAGGTCAAATTTTATAATCTTAAAAAGCAGTTAAAGTTCAATGTAAGATATTTCATTTCATTATAAAGAATTATAAAACAAAATTTAAAACAATATAGAAAGATTTTGTTTGAAGAAGTTGACACTAAAGGAGATGATCATGGAAATGAAGAAGTCTGGCTTGTCTTCGTTGTGAAAAATTGTTTTTATTCAAAAAACAAAACGGCTAATAGGGTCGTAGACCGTGATCGAAACTAGTTGAACCGTTTTGTTTTTGAATAAAAACAATTTTTTACAATAAAAAGATTATGGAAATGAAGCGATCGGGCTTTTCCTCGTTGTAGAAAATTCGTTTTTATTCAAAAACAAATGGCTCTACCAGTTTCGGTCACGGTCTGCGACCCTATTTCATATAGAAAGATTATTCATATTTACTTTAAAAAAATTGATTTTTTAACAAGTAAATAATATTTTGCGAATTCGATTCATATATTATCGCTTTTTAACTTTTGAGTAAATGATGCGAGTTGGTTCAGCACGACTGCTTGGCTAGCCGGCGTGTCTAGTGTGTGTTTGCGTGCGGCACTTTCATTTATCCGATTCTGACAATACATTTAGCCGTGCCCGGGCCGCATGTATATATAAAACCGTCAGGTACACACAGAAAACTAACAGGGAGAGGTGGCAGTGAATTATGGAGTTGCGACAATATTGCTGCGGCGTTCCGCCGTCGAGAAAAAAAATATAATAATATAAATCGGAGGCAGATTTTATCGCACGATCGGTATCGGGCCTCAAGGTTGTCGCGCACGAAAGAGTTGCGACTGTCAACATGCAAATAAAGCGGCTTATCTTTGTGAAATTAGGGCTCCTCGCGGAAAGAATAAAATTACGAGAGCGCAAACAGAGTCGCTTCCTTTAAGTCCACTTGCGAACGAAAGCAAACAATGGCGGCGGCTTAAAAGCTGCTCGTGTAAGGATTTCGCCTCGCCGACCATAATCTGATTTTCTTTTCGAAACGACAAGTGAGTGTGCATGTGGCTGTGACAACAGACACTCTCGGGGCCGATGGAAGCGGCAATAATAACGGGAACAAAGAGAGAGACCGGCGGCGCCGCAGCCTACGCGTAATTCAATAAAATAACAAGTAAACATGGCGCGCGGAATGCAAAACAACGAGCGAGCGCCGCCGGAACGTTGTTTCGCCGAGGGAGTCCATTCGCGCTGCCAGCCGATTCGCAGAATCTATTTCCACGCAATTACAATGTGCATTGCCCCAAAACGCCCATTTCTCTTTTTGACCTTCCGCTTTATGTGAGAGAATGGGAAGCGAGGCACGTTGCTCTTAATTTTGTAAATTGCCTTCGTGGAAGCGAGAGAGAGAGATGTAGGTTGGTATTAAATTAACCCACGCAGTATGGTATTGTGTTTTATAACAAGGGGTGCTTCAAGCTGAAGATGGAAATTTATTCTTTTTTTCTACTCTGGACTTTTATTCTTACAATTAGGTATTTAAGAAAAACCTACTTTAAAAGAAATTTAAGTACAATGTTATTAAAATAATTTGTATCGTTATTTTAAATCCATTTTTTATCCTCATAGTCATATTGATTATGTTTGGAAAAAAAATTCTGAAATCTTATGAAATAAATAACATTGTTTGCTATTTGTACACACGTTCAAGAACATGAGCTTGTTAAAAAACTATCTAAAAACATTCACCAATTAAAAAGCTTTGTATTGTTGCTTGTTGTATAGTGAAATTTTTACACGCAGCATTATTATTTGCCCTCACTTTTCCCTCGTTATTTCGAGCTGAATACTACCATTAATATTTATAAAGAGAAATTAATACTCAACGTTGATGTTATTCCACCCATAATAAATGTTTGCTGCAACAATATTTTTTTTTTCTTTTTTTTTATATAGCACAGGGCATTCCCTACTCAAATACATCATTCCGAATTTCAATTATACAAATTTAATCACTTAGATGAGAGAGAAAAATACACAACCAATTTTTTTCGCATTTTACAAACAATTATTAATTTTTGGTTCTTCGTAGAAACCAAATAAAAGTTTTGAAACGACCGTGTGCTAATGAAACATCTGCTTTTTACCTCATTTCGAAAAAAAAAAATTACAAAACAAAATAAGCTCATCTCCCCTCGTCAAAATTATTTTCCTGGGAAAACATCAAATGAACTCTGGCTGGCGAGAGGGTGGCTCAGCCAGCCGCAGGGGTCAAACCTGCGAGGCGAGAAAATTTAATGAAAAAGCAAAGAGCAGGGGTGAAAGGGAAATTGGAAATGCGAGACGCCGCAGCAGCCTCATTAATGAAGGCATGCCATACCACCGCGTTTGGTCAACCGAGAGCAGAAAGTATATCCCAGAGAGTTGACCTGGCCGTGATGAAAGACAGGCCAAATCATCCAATTATCAACTCATCCATCTCAATTTGAGAGCTGGGCGCTCTTTGACAAAAGCCAGCAGCTGCGTCCGTTTTGCAAGTCATGCTGAAAATAAATTCGCGGCTAGAGAGAGAGGCGCGAACAGACCATGAATCTTCCCGGCGCCACTTTTTTGCCCCAACCCCTTTGTTTTTTTCTTCGCAGCCCTCGACAAGGAGCTGAAGTGAATTTATTGATCTAATTGTGTTGTGGGGCGGCCCTCAGTCACTCATGCATGCCTCGGTGGGGCATTAAAAGTCGTTTTGTGTTGTCGTCGACAATGGCGGCGCCTGCTGCAAAATAAGTCTGCTGCGCGAATTTATAAAGTAGTGCGCGCGCCGAGGTGTCACAGTCTATCGTCGGGCTGACACGCATTTATCATTTCGCAGTGATTGATGACTGCGCTAGTTGCTTTTTACAAGCCCGTATCAAATTCACTCGCTCTCGCTCTCTCTTGTGCTCCAATTAATCCGCCTCATGCAAAGTACTCCTCACTGTTGCTGCCTTTCCAAACACGTCCCGGCAGAGGATTACTTGGGCCGCCTGTCCTTTCAGCGGCACCACTCTAGTCCAAAGGTCTGTCAGCCTGTTTGCGGTTTAATGGCTACTCAAAGAAAGATGAAGGAAAGTATGTCTGGGAAGTTTCGGATTTGGCTCCACCGTCGGGCTTTAAAGTCAAAGCTTTTTGCCTCCGAGAGAGCTACGACCTCGTGCAAAAAAATCAACTTTTCCTTACTCACTTGGGGTTGACGTTTTTGCACTCCCTTTTCACAATCGACTCCCACAGACTCCCAAAGTTTGAAAAGACGAAGGATGAATAATATTTTTTTAATTAAAAAGCTTACCTGAATATTGATCATCATCAGTAATATCAGTATGTATAAAATTGAATTATTTCCCGCCCATTTTATCCCAAATTAATCAAAACAAAATTTTTTAAATCAATAGTGTGGTCATTTTGATTTTCATATTAAAATAATATAATTATATGAATAAAAACTTCTTCACAATGCTCCTGCTCCTTTTGGAACGAGTTTAAATTTTATTTTTTCAAGCAAAACTTTCTCAAAGATCAGATGAACTAAATATTTTCACCTTTTACGCAGTTTTTGCGTAACTTTTTATTAGGAATAATCAAAGTCACCAGAGTATATTTTTGTTTATACCCGACAGTTTAAATAATTCCACTAAAATATTTTGATCTAATATTTAATAATTTTCTGTTATAATTTATTTTTGTTAACAGTTTAATGAACAATCTTAATCTCAGCTTAAAATAACTGATACCAAAAACTTGTTATTTTTGAACTGACACTCGAGGAGATGATGTTTTCGAATAAAAACAAATTTTCGCAACGAGGAAACGAAAAATACCAAAAAAATTTCTCACAAATTTAAAATTGCCTTTCTCAAGACTGAAGACTGCCATACTTTATAGTAACACTAAAGTCTTAACTTTCACAATCAGAGTTAGACGACTTCTCTCGGCGTTAGCGTGTTTTAGAGTCGAGGCAAACGCATTCATGCAAGTGGCAGTTAATTAACGCTTAAACTGCTCCTAACACTTTTGCCCTTGCCACGCAAACTCGGTCGGATTTTGCAAAGATCCATTCCGGTGGAACGACGCCGACGTTTCTCATAACGATTCGAGGGCCTCGGTGCGTCGTCGTCGTCGTGTCGCTCTTGAGCCTCCAGGCTGCATCCAGAGGTCCACTTGAAGGGATGCACCACTTTACAAGAGGTGTTTTGCCGAGCAATATAGCAGTGTGCCGAGAGCAGCTTTCTCCTCGGCACAATGATAATAACGCAATAAATATCCCCGTCGGCTTTTGAAACGAGACACTGCATAAGTGCAGGCGCAGGGAGTGCATTAAAGGGACGTGTGTACTGCCTTGGATGCCGCCGCGTGCGTAGACTGGTAATAACGGGTTGCAGCAGTTAATTAAGGCGTCTGCAGACGCGACGAGGAAGATAGAGAGAGAGGTGCCCACGCACCCTCCGTATGAAAAGCAGGGGCAGTGCAAAATGAATTAGTTGAGAAAGTTGCGAAAGGGAAATTTTGTCGTTGAATTAAATCCATTATTATTAAACACGGTTGACAAAATTTGAAAACTGCCCTGAATTTAGACTGAAATCGGTCGGATTTTTTGTCCACTAAAATAATTAATGATTTTCATTATTTTTTTTCAGAGACAAAATTAAATTTCTTTTGTTACTTTTTAAGGAATTATAGGTTCCATAATTGAAAGGGTCTTTCACTTTATTTTAAATTTTCATTACATTTGTAAAATATTTTTGACTTCAAATAAAACACAAACAAAAATATAATGATCTACTTCAACCTTTACCTCATTTCAGAATGAAAAATAATATAATATGCTCATTATTTTATAATAATAATACCAAAAAGAGCCAAATAAAATATTGTGTGCTACATTATTTTAGCACTTTCCTGGAGTTAAAACAATGCTAACGCGTGTTTCAGCGAAGCCTCTCTTGTCTTTGCACATCAAACCGACGCGGAAATGTTATAAAGCCGTGCTCATCTCGTTTTACAGCTGGGCTAATTCCTCTCATACAAACAGCCGCGCTTTCAGCCGCTGCCATTATGCTCAAGACGGTGGATTATTGTTCCCCGCGCTTTGCATACCTGCGCGGCTGCTCCTCGAAATCATGCGAAAGCATTGTCTTGATGAGCTTTCAATGCCCTGTAGAGTCGACGCGACGAGTTAGGGAGGAGAGCGTAACTAAATTCCTGATAATTAATTCACCGCGCACACCTTTCTTTGTCCCCGTGCTTTTCAATATCGCAGAACACACTTTTGCACTGCCAAGTGTGCTAAGAACTGAATATCAAATAAATGAGACAAGATGAAATAACTTTCCCTTTATTACAAAAAAATATTATGCCATATTTAGAATCTCTACAGGATTCTTCTTTTTGCAAACAAAAAATTTCTTACAAATTAAAATACCCAATTTGCCAGTTTCAAATCTTTTGAAGGTCCCTGAAGAGGACAAGAGCCTTTATTTAAATCGCCTTAACTTTTGGCTTTTAGAAAAAATTTAATTTTATAAAAAAAAATCTCCAACAATGCAGAACTTGTTTAATTAAGAAATAGTCTGCAGGCTCAGGAACGTTTAATCCCACTTTACAAAACAAAAGGAAAAGGGACGAAGACTGCTGCTCCATCAATGGCATTACTGCCAATTAAATTACCAACGGGGTGGATAATGAATCTGGTTTCGGTCGACGTGAACTTTTCCCCTTTCCCTTTCTTTCCCACACCCTCGCAGTTGAATGATAAAAGGAAAGCAAGACCGAGAGCGAATTCCGAGCGAACTAATAATTAAATACCGCTCGCATGTCTATTGGCTGGCTGCCTTTCTCCTCTTAATTACCCAGCGTACCCACACGCCAGATGTACAAACGAGCTTAATCTTCTTGAAATTGAAAATAAACAACACCAGGAAAAATAACATGTTTTATTTGTGTTTATTATGCGCCTCAAGAATAATTGATCGATGGAGGTATTCATGTTTATCCCGTTTAATCCACAGCATTAGGTGGAGTTGAGTCGGTTAAAATTTTGAAAATTTATATAGGGGTTTATTAAGTTAATATTGGATTGAAAAATTTGGTGAAATATGGGCTACTTCCACAAAAGTTTTTGAAGGATTATTAAATAACAAATTAATAGTTAATCTTCAGTTTGTAATTATTCACAATATGTTTTGCTATTAAGCCAAAATAAGATTCTTTCAAATTTTTTATTGTAAAAAACATAGAGCTAAATTTTTTCATATTTTATATTGCTATTTATTTCAGATCTTTGATATCTATGAAAAAAATTAGCTTTTCATTAAAATTTCCTAATTAAAAGAGATAATTTTTTTTTATCTAAATGCGTAGAAATAGTAATGCAGTAGATTGATTAAAAAGAAACAAATATACACTATATTTTGAACCTTTCCCTTTTTGTTAAAATTTTATTATTATTTCATTGATAACCTTTAGTAAATGTGAATTACTTCACATAAATACTGTCTCTTCATTATTTAAACGTTGTAGTCTGTCGAAGTGAGCCCGAACATTTTAATGGAAATTGGCTGTATATTCGAAATCTCAGCATCATATCTGGAGAACAGCAATTTTTGAGTTTTAATGTGACAAAATAAAACTAGTGTCATACCTGTCTCCATTTGTTGTCAAGCGAAAATTTGTTTGCCGAGGATCGCTGAGAGGATAAAACCACTTTTCATGATCATATGCACCATCAATTGTATTCACTATAACTCTGTCGGTCGAAAAGCTTCCTACAAGTGTCAAGTTCAAAAATCGCACCTCCTTGGCGTAAAGGGTTTCATTCTTTGAAGCGCCGCAGGTCGATCTGTCCCACCCTGAGCACGCGACCAAACCACACGTCTGCTCAGGGAATAAAACAGTTCCATCTGATGCATAGCGATTGCCTTCAAAGGCGACTAGCTGCAATCACAATAATTAATTACTTTTCATTATTTATATAATGTATGCCTTTTAAATTTTTAAATGCTTGATAATTTATTTTATCAAGTATCTCGTAATTAATTATTGCAAACTCTAGAACATAATTTATATGTGCAAAAGACAAAAACTTTTATGCACACATAAAATTGCTTTATTTTTTATTTTCTTTAAAATTGGTTATATCAAAGAAATTGATGTTAATGTTACTGTGGCAATTGCTACTTAATCTAATTTTAACTAACTGAATACCTGGAAATGCGTATCTGGGACTACATTCTCAGCCTTGTAAGTCAAGGAACAGCAAAATTCCGTTCCTGAGCAAACACCTATTCTGTTGACGGTATCATAAAGTGGCACATTCACAGCAATGTAATTGCTGAAGTCAATGCCCTCAGCAACAATGGCTCTTTGTCCCTTTTCATCGTCCGAAAATTCTTGATTTGCTTCATGACGTAGTCCAGGTGCGAGCAACAAAGGCGAACAAGAACCTGGCACAGATTGATAATGCAATCCAAAATTTCCAGTGCCATGATAATATCCGTTGCCAGTGTAGCCCATTTCTGGATCAAGGTAACTAGCGACGGCAACTGCCTTGTTTGTGGAGTGCCTAACGTACCAACCCATTTGAGTAGATATTGCTGAAATATTTCAAAATTCAACATTATTTCGTAATTCACAAACAGAAACGTACAAAAATCGAACGGGTATCTATTTTTCCAAGCGCTGGTAATTATAAAGTTTCCGATATTCTGTGAGATGTTGGTTCCGCAAACAATAGATCATGCCCTGTTAATATGCCTAAGACAGTCCCAGCATTTACATTGAAAGTGGAGGTTGTGATAGAATCTGCAGAGTCCAGAGCAGGTTCGTCAATCAAGTGATACTTTCGGTACCTATGAAGGGTTAATTTTTATTTAAAACTACAATAATTTGGTCAAATGAAATACTTTGCCACAAGGTATCCATCCTTATCAAAAACAACCGTGGTACTGTAAATTTTCAGACCATCTGCTCTGCAACCGTTAATCCCGACTTGGCATGGTTCTTTTTCCAAAAGACCGGCAGCCACAAACACATATTTAACTCTGGCCAAGCAGGACAGTCTCCGAACAACCTAAAGACAACACAAATCTTGATTTTGGTTTTTCAATTTAAAATGTTCATGATTTTTATATAAAAGGGAAGAAAATGGAAAACATACATTAGAAAAAAGATCATAATCACACAATTTTCATTTAATATTATGGTATAATTATAAATTTCAATTTTAGGTCACTGCCTATGATGAAGATTATGATCAAAAGAATTTAATATACACCATTGTGATTCTAATCAGCAGAAAAAGTCTTAAAATGATAATTACCAAATCATCTGGGTTTTGACTGTTTGCCACACATGGACTTGGCCCTAGATTTGGTTCCGGTACTCTTTGGGCGACTATTTTTGCACCCTCGCGATCGTTAATCACCCTTATCGTGGAGAGCATAAATTCCGGAAAGAGATACATGAAGTCATCTGACTATATTTTACAATAAAATATTAAAATATAACATTAAAATAAATATTGTTGATTTCCACTCACGGTTGCATTTAGTGGTTGGACCAAATTTTCAATTTTTTGGAGATTTTGTTCTAAAATTGAAACGTCGATAGTTGGGGAGTTCCAGCCGACTGGTGCGCATTGGTAGAAGTTTACTTTATATCCATTCTAATATTGCTTTTGTTAATTATTTGATTTTATTTGATATTGCAAATCTCACCACTCCTAAAAAAATAGAGGCTCCAGTGAGGAGAAGAAGTTTGAATATCATACCCATGACGTCCCACGCTAGTACTAACGGTGAGAAGCACTTACAACGAATATTTAAAGTCACGTATCAAGACAAATTTGCGTGATAAAAATTGACACAATCGTCAATCACGCTGATAGGAGTTTCTAAATTACGTCTTTAATTTGTATTGATAACAGTTGAAGTATTCATCATTTTGATAAGTTCGCGTTATCAGTCAATGATTCGTGTTTTTCTGATTTTGTTGTTCTATACATATTTGTCCTAATTGTTACAAAAATTTTACTCTAAAAAATATAAATAAAAAACTGTTGGACCAGAAGCATTGAATTGTTGGGAAAAGGCGCCACTAAGATTAACGTTAGAACTTACAAAATTATATTGGGTGATATTCAATAATTAATTTCAAAAATAAAGACACAAACATAAAATACCGCACAACAAAAAATTAGTTTTTTGATTACTAGTTATTAAATTCTATTGAATTGAAGTGCTTTTTTATATATATAAATTTGTAGAGTGTCCGAATTTTCAATTTAGTGGTTTTCGTACCAGAAAACATGGCAAAACCCCGAAACTGATCTGATCCAACAAGAATGCTGAGCGATTCAACCGCGAAATCAGTGCGTGTGCACATTATGGGACTTGAAGGTCCATAAAGCGAGATTCGGGCTGCAAAGTGGCAAATACTTGTGGCGTCGGAAGCGTTTAATTAAATGGATTCTTCTTAGCCAGACGGCCGAGTGTGTTGTGTGCTTTGCTGTGTGCGAATGTCCGATTTGAGCTACGCATGCATTTGCCACTGCTACCCACTCGCCAAAGGGTTATAATGTTACGGCCTGGCGCTCGCTGATAAAATATTTCGAGCCGAATTCCTGCTCCGCCCACAACGGGCCGGGCCCATTAGATAATATGTAAATCTGCCCTAGTGCGCGAGAGTGGAATTTTGTTATTGAAGATAACTCGTCTTGCCAACCCTCTCTTGCGCGTCCTGCACTTTCGGGGTGGCTAATAATGTCGACTTCATCCAGAAATAAAGTTGAAATTGGAAAATGAGCCATTTTTGTTGAAAACTTAGCTGACGTATTGGAAATATTACCCTTTTGCTTTCTAAATCGTCTATTTTGTGTTTAAATAATATTCTATAGAAGGATTTGCCACAAATAAAAATTACAAAAAAAGTTTATATATCCTTGGATTTATTTGAATGTTTAATTCAATTTAAATTATATTTTTTTTAATTTTTGGTCTCTTCTCTTCTGATGAACAACAACTTGATAATTTAATAAATATTCTCCAATACATAAGAAATTTTTTTAAATAATGAAATTAATAAATGTATCAAATTATCCCCATTATATACATTTAAGTTGAGTTAAATTGTTTTTATTTATAAGTTGAAAAAACCCAATATAGAATCTAAAGGCAATAAAACAAAGAACATCTGAACACAAAGTAAGAATCTTCTCATAACTCTAAGTCGAGTTTCTTTCCTCCCGCAGCTTGAGAGAAAAATCGAATTGTAGCTTCTGTACGCTGGCTCGCAACAAAAAGCAAACAACACAAATTAGAGTGCAATTCTTCAAGCCGTATATGGCTATTAGATTGCGCAACAAAAGCACCTCACCGCCTTATAAAACATAGATGGAAATAAACCGCCTTCTCTGCAGGTCGATAAAAGCGCAATTCAAATCGAAAGCAATGCACCCCGTTGCTGGCACACTTTCCGCGTCTGTCTTCCTTTTTCAGCCAGAGAAGACTCGAGCGAAACCATTTTCCCAGAACAAATCGGAAACGGGCTCAAGATCTGGGTTCAGAGTTATTCAACACCACCACCGTGCCGTTGAGGCGGAGGAGATTCAATCGCGGCAGTTGCATCTCTCACGTTTTTCCTACATCTACAAAGAGAGGAGCTAGGCAGAGCAGTCAGCTGGATAAAAACCCGCGACTGACTGCCTGCCAGAGCTTCGTGAATAGATCGAGACGAGATGCTTTGGCTTTCTTGCTACGGTTTATACATTGAACATTAATCCAATTTAAATGTTAATTTATATTAGAACTTCATAATAAATACAAAATGTGACTTATTTTTCATTGGTTTAATTATATTATTTAAAATAACATTAATATTTAATATTTTTTTAAATTTTTATTAAATCAATTAATTTTTTAATTATGAAATTTAAATTATTTCAATATTTTCCTACCTAATTATAATTTAAAATAAATATTGCAAAGCAGCGAGAAAGTATTTTTAAAGTTAATCTGAAATTCAATCAATGCTCTTTTTCTGCGTCTTCACATATTCTACACAAAAACTGTTAGTGTAAAATTAATTATTACTAAGAGTATTAAATAATATTTGGGTAAAAATAATTTCAAGCTCAAATTATATTTGGTGAATTTCAAAACGACAAAAATCCGCTCCCAATCTTTTTATCTCTTCATAAAAAAAATGGAGAATATTAGTTTTTAAGTTTGATGGTTACAGGTCTTGGAGCAAATAAATCCTTGAAATTTCTTTCACTGTTTTGTACACTTTAAGAAGCTCAGCAGTCAGACTATTACCGCAGTTGTTGAGCGGCACTTGTAATTAAAAAACTTTCTGAAGTTAATCGCGAGAAAGAGAGAAAAGTAGTGTCTAGAGCCGCGATGAAGATCATTAGTTGGCTGCCGCTTCTTTCTCTTTCTCTCTCCTCGACTTGGCCAGAAGTATTTCCATTCAAACTGCGCCGCAAACTCGCAGACAACAAGAATGCGGCCGCCGACGTCTTTGGACGGTTTTTTGCGCCTTCCTTGAAACAAGTCGGTTGGTCGGACGGAATCTTGGCGAAACCGCGAGAGACGTGAACGAGGCAAAAAGAGGTGGTGCGGCTGCTGTCGATTCCGCTGTCGCTTTGTGGACGCCAAACTATGTCGCTAATGCCTCAATTACCCGGCCCGACTTTGCCTGCCAGACTGTCTTTGAAGTTGGCCTAATTGCTCCTTTCGTGACGGACAGAGAGCAAAGTGGCACTGGAAATTTCAGCGAGAAAAAAAATAGATTGGTGCCAGTAGATTGCATCTAGACATTAAGCAATCTTGGTATTTTGCAACAGAGTGAGCAGTTACTTACAAGAAGTGGAACAAACAAGAGGGTAATCAGTTCACGGAACGTTGCAACTGAATAAAACGAAAAATGGAATTTTGAGCTAAATTAGTATTCTGTCCCTGAACTAAGAATAAAATTTTAGATTTTTTTTAAGGCTCCTATAAAACTTAATGAAAATTTTGCAATAATTTTGTTGTCATTTTCAAGGAGATTTTAAAACAAAAATGGAATGACCGATTATGAGATCTGAATTTATGAAAATTAACATTTTTTCATAGGAATTATGGATTTTTTTGTTTTAAATTGGCCCAACTAAATTTAACAAATATATCACGAGAATAACCTCAATGAAATTGACTTTAGAAGTAAAATTTCAATTCAATTCAATTTTATTGTTGTTCTGTAAGACAAGAATATTAACAGTAGTCTTTAGAACATGTCAGGTCTAAAATTAAAATTTAGAGAAAAAAACCCGTTGCTTAGGGCAACTTTATTAACAAGTATCTCAACTTAAAAATTTCATGGGAAACGGAAACATTTCAGTAAATTTATTCCAATATAGATGCCATAAGATCATTGTTAATTGATATATTATGAATATTAAATTTTGATATTAATAATGGGCAATATTTCACTAATTCAATTCACTGTAATCATTAAAAAAAATCCTTTAAAAATCTAATTTAAAAATTTTTTAACATCAATCTCAGTGTAAAAAACTTTCCTTGCTTAAGAATCAAATCTATAATCTTTCCTGAAAATTGAAATCTGTCTAATGGCCGGTTCTGTGCCCTCCAGCCTGATATAATCTTTGACGATTTTCCCTTTTTTTTACGAACGAAAATCTTTTTTCAGCTGGCTGAAACTTCCTTGGGCAATTTCTCTGCCAATCCGAGCGGCTTTACTCTCTTTCTCTCTCACTCGGTCGGATCTTTGCGTATTGCTCTTTTTTCCTCGTGCAATTTCCTGCCAGCCTGCTGTCAGCTAATGGCACAGTGACGACGTTTTTTGGCCTCTCTCTTTTCTCTCCAAGACGAATTTGTGCTCATCGATTAATCTTAAATGTGATTGTCATGTTGGTGGCGGGGCTTCTACTTTTCTTTGGCCCTCCAGCTGCTGATTCCGTGAGCTGTCTCATTGGAAATTTGTCATCCAATTGAAGCCGCCAGCGAAATAATCCTTTATCCGAATTTAATTAAATCTCCCGCCATTCGAGGGAATTAACTCCATATATAAATTTGCCCCTTCCTTTTCCCGTGTCACAATCCTTCTTCTTCAAGCTTTCTCAAATTAAAACCATCTTTCTTTCTGCAGACTGGACGAGAGTGACGCGCACAACAAGTTTGGGCCCCAAACTTTTGCACACAAGCAACCAACTTCGCCGCTTTGACAAAAGAGACGACGTCCGTCCATCGTCTTGTGTAACAAGGTACGTACGTACAAAACTTACTTAGTAATAAGTTCAAGAGCGCACTCCTCGAGTTCGGAATCAGAGTTAGTAAAACATTAAATTAACCCTTCGCGCGCGCATCCTCCCTCTCCATTCTTGCTCCTTCACCGCCTCCGCAGTTGCCTAATAATTCAGGCGGGTGCTGCAGAAACGCCCTTTGGCAACAAACTTTGAGGAAATACTATACCGAAATTATTGTCTGCTTTCTTAACTATTCAAGAGGGTCTGACAATGAGGAAATCTCTCTAGCTACGTGTATAATTCAGAAGATATTGATTTGGATTTCCGCTTAAGGCTGAAAATTTTGGGCTCATTAAACTTAGCAAAACATTAATTAAAGCCGTTAAATTTGATCGATTCTTCTAAAACGAAAATAATTTACTTAAAACAGTTAATTAAATTAAATTTATAGCTTATACTATACTATTTTAATTAAAAAATTAGAAAACAAACATACATTAAACATTTTATTGATCCAAAAATTGTGCTGCTTACAAAAACTTAACATTTAAACAAAATACTGAAAGCTTTACAGACTTTCCCATTTTAATTTAAAACTTAGAGAGAATATTTATATTCATCAACTTCCCCTTCCACCGTCTGAACAAATCAACAAAACGTAACTTTTCAAGATCCTCTCTGGTCATTTGTATTGCTCTTTATTATGAAAGATTGCTAAATTTCGAGTATCTTGTGAAAAAACTATTTGAAAATTCCGAACCGTTGCGTCTCAATCTAAAGAAAACCTAAATACGAGTGATTCGCGTGAAAAACGTGTGAGAATTGAGTAGCCAATCAGATCCATCAGTTTGTTCCTAAAACTACAGAATCTGGTCACATTGGCGCTGTGATCGCTGATTTTACCACTAAAGCCCCACGGCGCTGCAGAAAACTTGGCAAAATCAGCGATCGCAGCGCCAATGTGACCAAATTCTGTAGTTTTTGGATCAAACTGATGGATCTGATTGGAAACTCAATTCTCACGTTTTTCGCGCGAATCACTCGTATTTAGGTTTTCTTTTGATTGAGACGCAACGGTTTGGAATTTTTTAATAGTGTTGACACAAGATATACTCAAAATTTATCAATCTTTCAGAATAAAGAGCAAAACAAATGATCGGAGTGGATCTTTAAGTTACGTGCTCGTATCACTTTTTTGCTCGCAAATTGCTTTTTGCGCGTCGCGAAGGTTAGATTCGTGTTCAATGTCACTCGAATTCGCGTCCTTCTTTTTCCTCTCTCACGCGGCGTATAGGCAGACACAATCAGTGCGCCAGGGAGTTTCTTCTTATCTTGGTCAGCGTCATTTATCTTGCTTGCAAACGATTGAGTGACACACTGATCCTTTCGCCTTGTCGCTCAGCCGCGCGCCACCAGTCCGAGCCTCTCGTGTGCACTTTCTCGGGCTATTATTCTTCCTTTCTAATGGCACAGCCTTTGGAGAGAAAAACAGCTAAAGAACTCGCTACAAACTTTCCTTGGCGGAAGTGACGATTTCGGCTGGAATAATTATCAATCTAAAACTTTTATATTAATTTTGTGCGTCAATGTTTAAATTTAATTTAATTAAAAAAAAGGGTGACTATTCTGTGAAAATTTTAATAATACTTTTTAACGAGGTTGGTACATTGCATATAATAATATTTAATCACGTTGCTGTTTGTATTGTATCCGATTGTAATTAATTCTTATTTATTTTTAGTTAATCAAGCATAAAATGACACACATTTTCATTTCACATCAAATTTATGAACTCTGATATGCATAATGATGCGAATTCGGCAAATTTGAACTATTTTTATTAAATTTTAATTTAATAGAAACAGAGTTAGACAGACCGGAGGAGATTGTGTAACAGTTTTGTACCACAAACTAGGGAATAGTAGAGGCAAAATGTGTCACTTGGCTCGGCACAAGTGTCACAACTTGTCTCTGATAAACTCGATTTCGCGCAGCAGCCCTCATAATTTTTGCAGCCCCCATTTCAGTTGTCAAGGTGCCATCGTCTTCCTCTCTCTCTCTCTCTCGGTTGAGGTTTCTCCTGCAATAATAATAATTATCCTAGCTCGACACCGCACTAATAGAGTGAAACGTATGCATAAGTTTGGCGTAATTTGAACTTGATTAATAATTTGCCCACGTATAAAGCTACGCACGTTAATATTAACAAACGCGGCACGTACCCGCTATGAGGAAGGAAAGGCACCTCTCCACTCTCTCAAGGCTCATGTTTGCTCTCTTGTATTCAATATCGTAATGAATGTGCCCCGGATATTGATTAAATTTCGAATTCATTATCAGAGGAGTGGTGCCGGAGCTGCTTCGCACCGACTGAATACCGCTTGATTAAGAAGCAAATTTAATGAAAGCGCCGGCAACTGCTGAAAGAAATGGCTCGCTTCTTTCTCCGCTCCCAACTCGTTCGTTCTTTTTATCAAAAGAGAAGCCGGGAATTGCAATCTGGGAATTTCAATACGGTTATATAATATAACAAGGAGCGATTCATTTCGTGCAGCACGTGTGCATCTCATTTGGTTTCTGGAATTGTTGAAGCGAATAAATACGCTTGGGAATGAATTCACAGTCCAATCAATAAAAGCAATTACTCTGTCAATTAGTGAGGGTTGCAGTTGATGTGCAGCGGAAATTTGCGCTCAAATGTGTTTGACGTTTGAAGGAAGTGGTGCGTGGAATTCTTGGAAAATGAAGTAGTCACATAATTATACCAGCTTTATAGAGGCAAAACTTGATTTCCAGCATTTCTTTAATACAGTTAAAAAATGCTGACAAAGATTGATATAAATTTCCTACTTGAGATTGATTCAAAAAGTAAACCCTGCATCAGTTCAATTCAAAAGTCTGAAATCATTTATTTCCTCGATTTTTAGTATGATATTTTTAATAAAAATAAAAAAAAAAAAAATTCGTACCAACAAAAAACCCTTTGTTAACAATTATTAGGCTATTCATTATGTATATTTTCCTGGTGTGAACATAGTATCATCGGGAAAACAGATTTGTTTTGTAGCAAATCAAACATAGCAGAACATAATCAAAGCTTGTTTTAAGATACTTTTTTTTATTTAAAATCACATATTTTACTTTTGAAGCCAATTTCATTTAGATCGCTGTCACAGTGAATCAAAGTTTACCCCAATCCAACAATAAGTTTGTCTGAAAACTAGTTGGAAGTTCACAATGGCAGTCCCTATACCTAACCCCTGCACGCTCTCTCAACTCGTCCAAATTCACACTAGGCGGGTTCTGCGAGCAGACAGCCCGCGGGCAAGTAGCTAGGAGACCTGGCAGACGGCGAAGGTGAAAGTTTGCACCAATTGGCAAATATAATTTGCAACGTGCGTGAAGGCGAGCGTGAAATTCTCCTCATCTTGCAGCGTTGGGGTGACTTTAATTAATTTGCAGCAGGTAGATCCGTACGGAGAACGCGTCAGGCGAGGACTGAGCAAATATTTGATAGCACCACACGGCGCGTGTTTTGACAAGTTGGAGGCCCGCGCGCTGCTATTTGTTTCTATTCATACGCGGCATGAATAGCGACGCGCGTTCAATGGTGATGAGTAATGAAATAATAATGAGATCGCAACCGTGAGCGCCACCGCTAACGAAGCAGCCGAAATTTCAAGTTCTCTCTTTCTTCCTTTCGCGGCGACGGTGTTAATTCATGCATGCTTTCGTAATTCATCAAAAATTGACACGCCAGGAAGGAGCGAGAAGTGAGGACGGAAGGGAAATTGAAAACTTTTGCAGTGTGAATGTCAGTGAAAAGAAAGTGTTGACGTTGAGATTTTCCCTGAAATAAGTTCTTATATATGTCGGAAAAAAGGGGCGCCGCAGCCTCTGCAGCTACAAAGTGAGGGAATGTTTTTGCACTAAATTTTCTCAATTCACTCATATCTTGAAAATTTGAAAGTCTGGATTATTTAATTTTCTTAAAACTACATTCTTGTTTTTGAACTATTTAAATATTGAAATTTTAGTTCATATTCTTCATGATTGGTTCAGCCTTTTTTTAAGCAAAACTATTTATTAGATTTGAAACTGTTAATAGGAAGAACGAATACTGATAAAAAAATGTTTTATAAAATAATAGAAAAAAATTAACTTCAAAAGAGTTTTTTATCGCACAAACATTCCTTTTAAGTTGCCATAGTTGATGTGAGAGTGTGAGGGGTTTGAAATTTTGACGTCTCTCCAGAGAGGAAACGGCCTGAGACGCGCGGTGAGCAAAGAGCGAAAGAGAGAAACTGCACGCGCGCGGCAAAAGTTAACATTTAAATTATTGATTCAGAGGCGGCTGCTGGTGCCGACGCGGCAGCCTGCGAACGCCGACCGAGAAATTAAAATTGAATTGTGTACCTTTGCTTCTTAGCAACCCCGACGGAATATAATTTAATAAAACATAATATGCATTCGCCCGCCGCGCGGTTCCAGGCGGCTTTTTCATTACTTTATTAGGCGCGCCCGCCGAGGTCTTTAATTATTTTCTGCACCGGCACGGATTACAATAAATGAATATTTATGCATGCCGGTTTGCGAGTGTGGCAATTTCTCGCCCACCGAGCACTTTTCTTCTTCTTCTTATGTATGCGAATCCTGCTCTGCCGTTTCTCCCCTGGCGGAGAGCGCCTGCACGGTCGACGTTTAGGCAACCGGCGCGTTACAAGTGCCGTGCCAGTTGCATACATCCTTCAACCGAACGTGCTCCCATTTCTTAATTGCTTCAATTTAGTTAATGCTGCTGCCACCAATTGCAACAGGGCCTCTCGACTCCTGATACTAACGGCCCGCGCTCAAATTAATTGGGAGAATTAATTCAAGCCCAATTCGCCACCCTCGTAAATAAACGACGAGCTGCCGGGCCGATTGTTTCAGGAAACCACTGATAATCTATCTCTGGGCACCACCAATTTGTTAATACCTCTTAATATGTTGGAGTTGTGTAATCGAAATTATTATTTTAAAAAAAAATATTCTTAGTTAAATGTAAGATTAAATGAATATAATTATTTACATTTAATAATTTTTATTAATCCATAAAAAAATATTATTTTTTATTTGATGCAAGCCAAAATAATTTAGAAAACTATTTTAGACTATTTTCTGTTTCGACAATTTGGTATTATTTTCTCCCTATTTCCAAAATATGTCTCTTAAGTATTTAGTTCTTGTAGAAATCAAGCAAGAGGTATAACTTATTTTAGTTGTAACTTTAAAATTTACTCTACTAATAAATTAAATTAAATCAGAAATAAACCAACTAAAGACCAATTTTACGTTTCTATATTTAATTAAAATAATTTTATTTTCATAAATAATATGAAGGCTCAAATAATTTTTTTAATTTTTGGATAAATAATCAACTAAGCCAAATTAAACAAAAACCACTCGAAATAAGTTTTGTTTGATAGCCTTTTTCAAAGCAAAAGAAAGACCATCGACCCAAGGAAATATTGCAAGTAGGCCTAAACATACAACCATTGGATACGTTGCTTAATGAAAAGTTCAGGAAGTTCACCATGTTCCACAACAATACAATGTCTGAACATGGACGTTGGCTGAAACTTTTTTTTATTTCTGTGCCACGCCCAGCAGTTCGCCCCCCAAAAGGTGACAACGCATTTAATTCAGTTAAACTTTTTGGATGCTATTCGGCCGCTCAGAGTGAGAAGGGTCTGTCTTTGCCAGTCGCAGAGATAGAAAAAGAGAAAGAAAAAAAACACATAAAAGAGAGCGGAACGGGAAAACTAGGGCCGACGGGCGGCAAAGGGAAAAGTTGGCCCGAAAGAAGCAAGATCTCTAAATTATTTCCAGCGTGCCGAGTGTCCTCTCTGCTGCTATGTACTTTTTGGCTTTCAGTATGATAAGTCTTCTTTTTCAACACAATCCCCTTAATATGCTCAAGCGTGGAGCCGCCGCCAAGCAAGTTTTTCCCTAGTGCACTTTCGCTAATTGAATTTATCACTCACAGAAAACCACAGCGAGACAACTGCCACCGCAGAGGAGAACGAGACACACTGTCGGCATATTTAGGCATTGTTTCCGGGGCAAACAAAATCGAGCCAGTTTTTCCTTGTGTTTAAATTGGCAGATATTTTAGTTATAAATCTATTCGTGAGTTATTGGATTTGCCTAATTTTATCAGAAAATCAGCATAGTTGTGTAATTGGGAATATTAAAAGGATATCTATTATTTTATAATCTTAAATGGTTTCAAAATTTTAGTGAAAAGTGAAAAGCAATTTCTTTCTCACACAGATTATTTATTTTTTATCTTTTTTTTTTAATATAACTATGGTAACTATTTTTCATTCCATCTTTTTCCATTATCAATTCAATCGGTCTGTCATTAATTAATAAAAATAAAATTTGTGTGAACGCTTTTGATTACAGAGTATCAAATTTTACATTTTTGCCGAGGTTTTTTTTTCAATTTAATCTAGTGTACTGTTGAAAATTTTAAAATTTTACTAAATTATGGATAGATTATAAAGTTAAAGTGTTTATTAAGAATTAAGTTCGCATAACTAAGTGAGAGAGCTATAATTGAATCCTGTACCCACTTCAAGATTGTTGCTCTCTCTCCCTGACGTTTTGCAGCGTGTGCACATCATTAAATTTTGCGGCTTTGGTGTTATTTCTCCGCGTGTCTCGTTCCACTTTTGAAGCGGAGTCGACGTCGCACCGCAGTATCTTTAATTTGAAAGAGGGGATTTGCTCTGGCTCTGTGGAGCGGCGGAATTAATTTTATTTCCACGTCATGTGCAAATGAAATTTTAATCGAATAATAAAATTTTGTCATTCCACTCTCGGCGGAATTCAATTCCAAGGCGGCGTTGCAGAAGAAGTGGAACTTTATTATTATTATATCATCGCGCGTTTATTAATTTTCTCCAGCACGGTTAATGTAATTCCATTGTTATTGCATTAAAACTCCCTTCCTTGTAGCTTTTATTCTTTGCCCCTTTTCATTCTCTCGGAGAGGAACCAAGAAAAATTGGAGCATGTTTTTATTCCAATGTTGGAAACTGAATTTGTGTTCACGTAAAATCACGCGGTCGTTAAATATTTGCTCTCCATTATATCAGTTAGTGTGCCTTGATATAATTATACCTCAACTGGCGAGAGAAACATCGATACACGCAATTCAGCGCTCCATTAATGCGCATTATTATATATTTTTTGGTCAAATTGACATGTCTGGTAAGCGAAGTCGAGTTGAAAATTGAGCGCTGACATGAAACTCGCATTACTTCCAGCACTCTCTTTGGGCGCGCATGTGTTTGGCCGGTTTAGAATTTGCTTTGACAACTTCATCGCTGTTTCAGCTAATTACCAATTGGGACCTTATTTTCTTTAGCCTAATGATTGCGCGAGGAAAAATACCGTTTGATTTTGCTGAGCGTTAATAAAATTTATTTATTACGTCACTTTTATTAAACGTCCTGAATATTTGATTGGTTATTTTAGATGCTTGCGAAGCACTAAAAGATAATCAAAGCAATTTTTATACCATAAATTAAAAGATTCAACAACTTGGATAAAGTAGAAGTTTGTACCTGTTTCTGCAAACTTATAATAATTGACACGCGTGAACAAATTTTTCTATATACCACTTTAATTGATATTTTTATTTGAGCAAACAAATTAGTTGGGAATTGGTTTGTTTGACGATTTGCTATTTACACACTTGATAATTTTTACATCAATATAACAATAAAACTGGGAAGCCTTATAACTGATATTCTAATTGGTAACCTAAATTCCAATTAGCAGACATTTTCAAGAGAAAACTACTCTAAATTTAAGCCTGAATGGCTAGTGTGCAACGGCAATGGTTTTGTTTTTGGGAGTTCGACGAGGGTCCTTTCAGCCTTCTATTCAGCTTCATTGAAATATAAATTAATTGCTCTCTGTAATTAAATCTTTCAATTAATCATTTCAATATCATAAAAGGCATAAATCATGTCAAGCAATTTTTTTAAATAGGTTAAGTGCAATAGAAACACCTCTACAGGCTTTACAATAGAGCGAGTCTGCAGAAAGTCTCGCTGCCTCAGTCAGCACTTTATTGTGATTGGCTCCACTTTTTGCAAGTCCGCGCAATTATGGCGAACAGCAGACTGCGTTAAATTGAATTAAAATATTCCTTTTTATTAGGGATTTGCCGCGAAAAAAGGAAGGAGGAGTTGGCACGAGTGGGGGCGAAATGTGCAAACTTTTTATTCCATTTCAGTTCACATAATTCCGGCCAAGTTTGCACGCTGGCAAAGTTTAGAGCGGCTGCTGCTTCATTTCATCGGGTGCTCTGTTATTTCTCCAAGTTGTGAAGTGTGCTCAATTAAGCAACACTCGTTCGCCCTGCAGTCCCGGCCGTTTCTCTTTCCCGCCGTGTCTTTTCATATAGTTGAACGGCGGCGCCGCGGCGAATATAATGAAATGAAACGGAGAAAAAAAGAATGTTCGCTCATTCGAATACATACCGGTGCTGCATATTCAAATATTATCCAGCCATCATGAAAAACTTATATTGTCTAAAAATGGAGCCGCCGTGTTCGGCCCTGCTGCCACTCTTCTCTCTCTTTATATAAATTTCCTCTTTCGCCTCCCCCGGTCCTCCCAGTCGCTCTTTTTGTGCGAGGAGAAGAGAACTTCAATAAAAAGTTTTGCTGCACGCGGAATCGACGACTGCTATGGCTGACGAGAATGGCAGAATTTAATATGCAGAGGGAAAATTCTTTTCAATAAAACAAAGCACGGCAATTATATTTCATGAATTTTTTAACTCGCAGCCCGAGAGTTGGAAAAGAGCAGAGAGAATGGCAAGCAGAGTGGAATGTGTTTGCCTGGCAAAGTTGAGATGAGGGGATCATATTTGTACGGCGCAGTTTGTATATTGTTATATGGCGGAGCCTTGGCTATTTCTGGAACGGAGAAACGTTGGAAATTTCAGCAAAGAAAACCAAAGAGATTAAATGGATTTAGTCAGGGATTAGTTTTATTTTTAGAAAAAAATATCCAACATAAATGTTTGTAAAAAAACAGAATTGTCGTTCCAGGAATGTTATATTTATTTTTGACCTAAATCAATAAACATTCACATTTGTTTTTATATCGGCAGAAACAGGCAGATATTTCTCCACATTGAGACGCATCTTGAAAATTGATCACTTGTGTCATGAGAAAAAAACGAAGCCATGATTAAAATAATAAATAATCAAAACTTGTTTGAAGAAATTGACACTCGAAGGGATGATCATGGAAATGAAGAGATCGGGCTTTTCCTCGCTGCGAAAATTGTTTTTATTAAAAAACAAAAGCCGTTTCGTTTTTTAATAAAAACAACATTTGCAACAAGGAAAAGCCCAATCTCTTCATTTCCATTATTAAAATTATTTTTGATTAATGATCATAGTCCACGTATCTATAGTTTGGATAATTCATATATTTTGTTGTAACTTGAAAATCAAAAACTTCAGGAAAATCTAAAAAATAAATGAGTGCCTTGTGTATTTTTGGATTTAAAATTTTCAGATATAGGAGTGGGAAAAAATAGGTGATAATTTTACTCAAATTAGGCTTTTTGTTGGAAAATTGATTAAATAGCGCATTTTTTTTTTTAGCAAACAGGTGATTCCAGTTATATATATATTTTTTTTAATTTGTGATGTGAAATGAAAATAATAAAATACTAAGTGAAATTGATACTTACTCAAATATAGGTAAAAAAAATAGCAGATTATTGCTCAACCCAATTTTGGGTGCTTTCATTTGCATCTAAAACCAGGCACATCTGGGCTTCATTAGTACTTTTCAAGAAAAAAAAAATGTATTATAGTTGATCATTTTATAATTTACTCATCCTTAGGTCTCGTGAACTGAATTTAGCAAAAATTTGCATGTTTTAGTTTTAATTGAGTCGCCGTTATTTGTCCTAAAATCATTTGTCCTAAAACTGAATTCGTCATTTGTCCTAAAATCAAAGGTCCTAAAATAAATTGTCCTAAATTTTTCATTTCATTTGTCCTAAATTTCAAGTTTCCTAAAAATAAGTGTCCTAAAAATTTGAAAATCTTAAGGGTTTATTGCTGGAAAAATTCAATCTATGCTCTGCAAAGAAAGGCAAAAAGGAGAGATAAATTGAAATGTTCGTTAACAGGGAGAAAATGCCAATAAATTTCTGATTCATAAAAATGAAAAAAATTAGAATAATTAAACTTGAATAAAATTAAAATCCTTGGGATTTAAAATTAATGTTTCTATTCATAATTTTTTATTTTATCTTTGTGAACAATCATTTGTTGGCTAAACCAATGAAAATATATTATTGAATAGCTCTTTTTATCAATTTAACAAAAAATGTAATTATTTTCAAAGAACTTCTATGTACGATTGAAATATAGGAATAAAATGTGATCTTACATTTTTTTTTTTAGATGTTTCAACATTCAAAAACTTTCATTTTCCACTTCAAAACATTTTTGCTGAATATGAGAAATAAATTAAAAGTTGATTACTTTCATCTTTCAACGCTCTTTATTAATCAGGCTACACTGAAATCTTATATTAAAAGGAAGACCGAAAATTTGCATCCAGGTGCCATCTTACAAGATTTAGGACAAATGAATTTTAGGATGAAATTTTTTAGGACAAATGAGTTTTTGAACATTTAGGACAACTGAAATTATGAGCAATGCGGGTCTCCCTTTTAATTCCTCCATGTTGTAGATTTTTTGCATTTGAAATTTATTTAAATTCCTTTCAAATACTCAAAATTTCTTTGTATATTAATCTTCTTATTAAATGGCATAAAAAAGAGAAGATATAATTACTAATTACCATCCCCAGGCGATTCGCAGCTTTATTTTATTGATCATTTGAAGAGAATGAAGAAAAATAATATCAGAACATAATATCTGAAAGCATTCTGATTATCAAGTGTTGCACAAGCCATGACTAGTCAGCAAAACGAATTTACAGCTGCGCCCACTGGGCTCTCACAACGAGATGCATTATACGCGCGGTGCGGCCGCACTGTCTGCTTTTAACGATTTATTTACGAGCATTCCGGCGCGATAAACCCTTTGCCGCGCGTCCCGGTCATTTTATTGTCCACCCCTTGCAGTTGCACAAACTCCGTGCTGCACTTAATCGCCGCGTTAATTACGATTTATGCGCGAGTGGTCGGCCGCTGAGATTGTGCGCCGCGCGTGAGTTAGGCGCGCAGGTACTAGTGCGAGAGAGATGATAAGAAATGAGGCGGCATTCATGATTTTACGATCCATTAACTCGGATTATAACCTTTTGACACGGCGCCGCGCAACTCGCTCGTACGTTTTATGGCGGCGGAATTTCATGAATAAGATGTCGACACTCACTCTGAACGATAATTGGCAAATTGCGCACGCCTTTCGCGCCTGTATAATGTGTACCCACGATGATGGCGGGTGACACGACCAGGACACAAATACAAAACAATGGTAAACTGCACTCATCACTCTGTCTGTTGATGCAAATTTTACACTCATCGTTTGACCCTTTCAATGCAGGAATTGGTAGGAATTTCGTGCGTCCAAATTAACAGCCCAATAAAAAAAAAACAACATTCCATATTAAATGACTTAATTTTTATGCAAAATTGTTTGTTAGAAAATATTTTTGTCTGGGAAAAAAACAATGCTTTCTAAAATCGTTAAATTGTTTTCATTTTTTAATGTTTTACAACTACTCAGTTAAGCTATAATTTAAGTAACAAAGTTTTCACTTAAAAGTTAAGAAAAAATTCACATGACACCAGACCGGAACGGATATTGATGGCCATGCATTTTCTGCGCGAGACTTTGTCTCTCTTGATCGTTATTAATATAATTATGAGCGTCATAATCATAGGAAAACATACGCATACTTAATAAAGGGAGAAGGGGGAATATTAAAACAGTTAAAACTTGATTAATTAAGAAAAATGAAGCGAATTAAAAAATAAATAAATAAATAACCTCTTGCGTTTGAGATGATACAGCACAATTTTATTCATTAGTTTTAGTTATATATCAATTTTATTTATAATATCATTAATTAGAGATAAAATTATAATTAGCCGTAATGCTCATTGCTCATCAATGCTGCCATCCTAAATAAACTGTAGAGTTGTTACACACTTAAAATTATTATTTATTTTTATGGATAATATTTATTATTTTCCCAGAAAATATTGGAGTTGTGCATCAAATATTATTGAATTAATGTTTTGAATACTATGATGGTTTAAATTAAAATATATAAAAAAGATTAAATTAAGAAAATTATTGATATAATTAAATTGTTATTAAATGTACATTAAAACAAATCTTATTAACTGTTAGTTTATTTCTAGTAGATATAAAAATTTAAAAAGAAACTATATATTTTATCACAAATAAAGCACTTAATTACTATAATTTTTTATGAAAGAATAATATTTTTGTATACCAATAACTACAACTTACAATTATTACAAGATGCAAAGAGTTCTACTTGTGGCCGAGACATTCTGAAATTCAAAATGTAAAATGATAACATGAAAGCACAAAAATAATATAAATGAGCAGCCTTTTGCAGACAAAAATTCATAATTCAAGCTGAAAATGTGCAAGCAATTAATTTCATGAGCATTTTTCACAGCGAAATTGCTCGCAGATAAAAATTTGCACCAGCCGTAGAGAGTCCTTCCTCCTTTCATGCCTTTGCTGCTGGAAAATATGTTCCGGGAGCGAATAATTAATGCACGCGAATTATTAAATTCTTTTATCTGCGCCGCCTTCTGCCTCCGCGCAGCACTTTTTGCGCTTTAATCTAATTGCATATCAGCGAGAGAAATAAATTCCTGGCTTAATTCGGCACTCGAGAAATTTATGCCGAAATAATTATACTTTTTCGTGTGTGCGCGGCGCAGAGAACATGTCCAGAGATAAGCGCGAGGAGGAAAATTTTCAGCCCAAAAGCATTATATTCGTAGAGCAATTATATCGCATTATAATATCAGCTCGTTGGTTATTATTTTTGTTTTATGTGCTCAGCAGGTGGTTGAGTCGCGGTATTTTTCTTCTCTATGTAGGCGGAGTGCAATATATTATACGCTCAAGACCGGAAGTTTATGATTTTCATTATATTCCATGCTCAGCCACGCCTCCTGCCTCCTCTCCAGGCTTCCTGTTAACCACTCTTGATAGCTCGCGCCTTTAACTCTTTCCTCATCTTTGTGCATGGCAAGTTCGGGGGCGTGAATAAATGCCGCATTGTGTCCGCTTTTTATGATAATTCTCGTGCAATTACGCGTCACAACTTTCAAATTTATGGCTCGGCTCTGCACAATTTTCCTAAATAGGTGCATAACTTTATCTACTTTTTGTATATTATATTCATTTAAAATTTATCGCCTTTGGTAAAAGTAAAATGCTGTAATTAGAATTTTGTGTACCTCACAAAACTGATAGTCCCTTTGCACGCACCAGGGAAAAATTCCGTTTGATTTCGTCACGTATATATTGTTTTCGCCGCGCGACCGAAGCATAATGCGATCGATTATGCAACCGCTTAGACGCAAGTGCTGCGCGGGCTGCCTAACCGAAAGTCGATACGGGCTCGCATAACGCATTTTATTTATGTCCCTCTGCTTCTTGGGCATCGATTTAATGCGTCTCGGAACATAAAGGGGACCGCAAGGGTTGTTTTCTCGTAAAATAATACATAATATAATATATGTAGCAGCAAATTTGCCGTGGGAATTACGCGCTTGGTTTATGATCGGAATTATATGCGACGGCCAGATGGAGAAGCAAAGTTGCGAGCAAAAGGTCTCGAAAAGTTGCGGATAATTTATTTGGAGGGAAAACCGTTGCTAAAAGTGCATGCCTCGTTTTTATAAGTATATAGAAATAACGAAAACTGAAATTTATAGCTTTTCATTTAATTTGGAATTGAATTTTAGCTTTTTCTTAATGCATCTTCAAATTGCTCTGCAAAATTATTATTCTTGTTTATTTTTCCACATTGTTTACATTGAATTGTTTAAAACAATGTCTTTGAAACAAAGATATTGCTGGACTAAACAGCACCACCGCAGCAAGAATTTTGCTATAACTTTCAAGATCAATTATTTTTTTTACATTCATCCTGTACAATTAATTTTAAGAAATATATTTTGAGCGATATTTTGCATTGCTGGAGTTAAATTTTAACGCGCTTTTAGTTATCTTGAATCATTTTATAGTTATTAATTTAATAAACCATTCAGAACCGTCAAATATTCACAATTAATATGATATTATTTTTCAAACAAATGTTCTACTGATTCAATTTTATAATTAATAAAATAAAATTTTTAATTAGTATTAAAAATTAATTTAAACGTTGATTATTTTACCTTAAGAATTAAGCTGGAAATTATTATTAAATTTGAAATGATAATTATAATAATTAACGCTTTTAAAAACTAAAATTCAGAATAATAAATAAATTATTAGATAAAATTTTTAAAAGCTTATTTTTTTACAACTAAAATACTATATTTTGTATACATTTAATCATAATGACTATTTCTGTTCCAGAAGGAGGGTAGTTCGTCCTTTCTAGGGAGAAGAGCGCACATAGCCTCCACTCACCTTCAAAATCTGACGTTACTTTGGCTGGTGATTAAATGTTTTTAAGTAATATTGTAGTATTGAAAATCCTTTTTAAAACTTTGTTTAATGCCTTAAGAATTAAGCTGGATTGAATTTCAAATGAAAAATAAAATCGTTGCGCTTTTAAAAATAAAAATCAACAAACAAATAAATTAACATTGGTTAAATTTTTAAAAGTTCATATTTTTTTCAAATAAATTACAAGATATTAGATAAATTTGATTTCAAATATTCCAAGATAAAAATAAATTAATATTTCTTTTTATTTCAGAACGAGGGTAGTTTGTCCCTCGGAGGGAGAAGAGCGCACGTCGCCCCCACTCCGGCGCGCGAGCTGCTTATTGCCATCGCTCGGTAGAGGCGTTTCGGAGCCGCGACTCGTCGTAGTACGCTGGAATATACGGTGCGAGCAGTTGCCTCTCCCGTCAGTCGAGCTCGGAGCGTGATCGTGAGAGGACTATCATCGCGTGCCAACATGTGCTCGTAACCACACGTACTCTGAGTGTGACATGACTTTGTCCGATTGAACCGCGAAACGAACAGTGCTAGTGACAAAAGTGACTCCTTCGGCCATGTGCGCAAGTGGACTTTCGCGAAGCAATGCGCCGAGTTAAGAGGTGATACGAAGACGCGAAAATTATTTACCATGGCGAAGATGAACTTTGTTTCGGCGCTGGGCCTGCTGCTCGGCGTCGTTTTGTTTTGCGCCCCGCGGGCGCTCGGCTTCAAGTACGAGGCGCCCGACTTCTGCTCGTGGTCCTTGGAGAACAACGAAACCAGCCGTGTCGGCGTGTGGTGCAAAGTGCGCACGCTGGCCGGCGAGTTGGCCGCGAATCGCACCAACAACGCCGCGGGCGCCGTGTCGTCGCTCGCCGGCCTCCAAACGGACGGCACCTCGCGCCTGAGAGTCGAGTGCAGCGAAGTCCTCTTTTTCGAGAGCACCCTGTCGCCGGGGCTTCTCTCGCGACTCAACCAACTGGAGGACTTGGAGATCGAGCACTGTAAGTTGGGCCAGTTGCACGACGGTGTTTTCCGCGGCCTGTCCAATTTGAAAAAGCTGTCGGTGCGAACGCACAACTCGGACTGGTCGTCGGCGCGCCAGCTGGAAGTCACCGACGCCAGTTTCGACGGACTCAAGGAGCTGCAAACCCTCGATTTGGCGCACAACAACATGCGAGACGTGCCGACCAACGTTTTCTGCCACCTGCCCAATTTGAATGTGCTCAATTTGAGCAACAACGCGCTCCAGCACTTGGACCCCACTTTATTGGGAGGGACGTCGGCCGACTCGGTTTTATCCGACGAGCCGGCGGACAAAAGTTCAGAGAGCAGGGCCGCGGGTGAGAGTTGCGAAGTGGACGTGATTGCCCTGGACGTGTCGTGGAACAACCTGACAGACCTGCCGTCGGTCATCAACTCGCCGCGGAGACGCCGGCTGCAGCAGTTGCTCGTGCAAAACAACCAGCTCACCGCACTCAGAGCCTCCTCTCTGACCGGCCTCGCGTCTCTGCGTGTTTTGAACGCGTCCAGCAACCTGCTCGTCGACCTGCCGGCGGTGCCGCTGAGGGAGACGTGCCGCGAACTGCGCGAGGTAAATCTGCGCGGAAACGCGCTGCACGATTTGGGCGACACTTTCCAGCGTCTCGAGCAGCTGCTGGTGCTGGACGTGGCGAAAAATCGGCTCGTCAACTTGGGCTCGTCGCTGGCCGGCCTCATCAGACTGATTGTGCTGGACTTGTCCGGCAATGCCCTCATCCGCCTCGAGGCGCTCGCCTTCAAGGATCTCTACTCGCTGCAGATTTTGGATTTGCGCGACAACGCGATCGCCAGCGTGGCCGACGACGCCTTCCTGCCCTTGTATAATTTGCACACTTTGAGTTTGGCCGGTAATCAACTGACACGCATCGGGCCGTCCCTCCTTAATGGCCTGTTCGTGTTAAATAAATTAACGCTCAGCCTCAACTTGCTCACCGAAATCGACCCGCGCGCCTTCAGGAACTGCTCGGACCTGAAGGAACTCGATCTGAGCGGCAACGAGTTGAGCGAGGTGCCGGCCGCCCTCACCGAACTGCCCTTCCTGCGGACCCTCGACCTGGGTGAGAACAGAATTACCGGTTTCACTAATGGCTCTTTCAAAAATATGCACCAACTAACCGGTCTGCGGCTGATTGACAACAACATCGGCAACATCACCGTAGGTATGTTGTGGGACCTGGTCGGTCTGCAGGTGCTCAGTTTGGCCAAAAATAAAATTCTGCACGTTGAAAGAGGCGCTTTTGACCGAAACGAGCGGTTGGAGGCCATCAGGCTGGACGCCAACTATCTGACGGACGTCAACGGCGTCTTCACCGCGCTGCCGTCGCTCTTGTGGCTCAACCTGAGCGACAACCACTTGGTCTGGTTCGACTACGCCTTCGTGCCGCCCAGTTTGCAGTGGCTGGACATTCATTCCAATTTTATTGAAAAACTGGGTAATTATTACGAAATCACGGACGGCTTCCACCTGAGAACGATTGACGTCAGCCACAACAAGCTGACCGAATTGAGCAGTCTGTCCATCCCAAACAGCGTTGAAATATTTTTCACAAACAATAATAAAATAAAAAAGGTGGCCTCCGGAACTTTCACGGCCAAACAAAACTTGACCCGAGTTGACCTCTACGCCAACGACCTGGAGTACCTCGATTTGAGCTCATTGCAAATTTCGCACCCCAGTCGAATTGAGGTCACGATCACGGACGATGATGAGTTCCCCGAATTGCAGCCCTCGCGACCTCTGCCTGAATTCTACCTGGGAGGGAACCCTTTCAAGTGTGACTGCACCATGGAGTGGCTCCAGAGGGTCAACAACATGACCCACAATGACCACCTCCGCGGCCGCTACCCGCGAGTGATGGACTTGGACGACGTCGTCTGCCGGATGACGCACTCGCGCAACATGCCGCTGTCCGAGTCAACAACCATGGCGCCGGTGCACATTCCGGTCCTCGAGGCGCGTCCGTCTAATTTTCTGTGCCGCTACGAAACGCACTGCTTTGCTCTGTGCCACTGCTGTGACTTTGACGCGTGTGACTGCGAAATGACGTGCCCCACAAATTGCACTTGCTACCACGACCAGTCCTGGCGAGCAAACGTCGTCGACTGCTCCTCTTCCAACCACGTCACACTGCCCTCCAGCATCCCGATGGACGCCACCGAGGTGTACCTCGACGGCAACAACCTGCGAGAGTTGCGCAATCACGCATTTATTGGCCGCAAAAACATGCAAATTTTGTACGTCAACAACAGCAACGTGGAGACCATTCAAAACCGCACCTTCAACGGCCTCAACTCGCTGCAAATTTTGTACCTGCACGAAAACAAAATCAAAGTGCTGCGCGGCTACGAATTCGAGAACCTGATGCACCTGCGCGAACTTTACCTGCAGCACAACAGACTCACGCACATCGGCAACGCCACCTTCCTGCCCCTGCGAGCGCTGCAACTTCTGCGCCTGGACGGCAACCGGCTGGCCAGCTTCCCCGTTTGGCAGCTCAAAATGAACCCCTACGTGACTGAAATGTACCTCAACACCAACCCATGGGCGTGTCGGTGCCGCTTCGTCGCCGCCCTGTCCGAGTGGCTGCAGGAGGACAAGCGGCAAATCATCGACGGCGGCGCCGCCAAGTGCCTGGAGAATTTCAACAACGAGGAAATCTGCAACCACGAGGAGGACGAGGACGACGTCATGTCGACAGCCGTCCTCGGCACCCTCCCCCGCCTCTTCATGAACGACTACCTGCCGACGGTGATCGGCACCCTCTTTGTGGTGCTCCTGGTGATCGTGTTGGCCATCCTGGCCTTCGCCTACCGCGACAACGTCCGCCTCTGGGTGTTCGCCCGTTACGGAATTCGGCTTTTCCACAAGACGTCGTCGGCGGCCGCCGGCGTTTCGGCCGCCACGGCCACCCTGGCCGCCGTCAAACGCGAGGACAAGGACAAATTGTACGACGCCTACATGTGCTACAGCCCGAAGGACGAGGAGGAACTGGTGCAGTGCATCACGAGCGGCCTCGAAAACGGCAACCCGCGCTACTCCCTTTGTCTGCACTACCGCGACCTGCCGTCGATCGCCGGCTCGCGGGACACGGCCATCTGCGAGGCGAGCGACGCCAGCCGAAGGGTCATCTTGGTTGTGAGCAGAAATTTCCTGCAGACCGAGTGGCCGCGCCGAGAATTCAGGGCGGCCCTGCACGAGTCCCTGCACGGGCGGACCTTCAAACTGATCATCATCGAGGAGGCGGGCGGCCTCCCGCCGGAGGTGGAGCGCGACCCTGACCTGCGGCCGTACCTGAAAACGGCGCGGCGCATTCGGTGGGGCGACAAACGCTTCTGGGAGCGGCTCAAGTACGCCATGCCCGAGAGCAAGTCGAGGGACAATTTGCACATGTACCGGCAGAACATCAACTACACCCTGGACGCTCGCGGGCACCACCAGCCGCTGCAGAACCACCACATCCACCACCACCACGCGGGCACCATGCCCGGCAAGCGGAAGCAGTTCAACGCCGCGCCCCTCAACAACCACCCCCTGTTCAACAACATGAAGCTGGACGAGTCGAACAACGTGGTGGTCGGGCCGACGCCGTCGCCCCGGCTGCTGCACCCCGCCAGTCAGAACCGGCCCCCGTACAGCACGGGGTCCATCAGCCCCCGCTCCTCGGAGCACATCTACTCGTCGATCGACTCGGACTACTCGACAATGGAGCGCGCCAATTTGCCGCCGAATGTCCAGCGTGTCTTACAGCAGCAGCATCAGCCGCCGCCGGCTGGTGTGTGGAGAACTGCCGCCAACACCACAGTGGTGGACCAGGGCGGTGTTCAAGCTTATTTGGTGTGATATTCGTCAAGTAATTCCTTCTGCTACCTTCTACTGAGCTAGGACTGTACTCGTTGTTAATTGCTTTGTCTTCGCTGCCAAAAGAAGAAGTCAACCCCCTCCCTCCCCCCCCCCCTGAGAACCAAACATTCACACGCACTTCTAAAAAGGATATACCATCAGAATGCAGTCCTTCTTCACTACACAAAAGGTAAGAATCGATCTTTTTATTTTATTTAAAAAAACTTTTTTTTTTAATATATTTCGCTTGGCAAAAATACTTCAAATTCATCGTGTACTAATTACGCTTAATTTGGCAGAACGCAAAAATTAAATTGTACGGAAAAGAATTCCAGTTTGGTTTAATGGCCCGGCGCTCACTGAGAAATTCCACTATCATGTTAGGACATAAAAATCATTAACCAGGAATTCGTCCGCCGAGTCGTATAAGATGCGAGACAAGATTCTTTCTTCTCTTCTTTTGCTTTTTCTTTTATAAAAAAAAAACGCAGGGGATAAAATGAAGCTCCGTTTCGGCGACGACATGATGGAAACAAACACAAAACAATTTATTTAATGCGGCGCGCGATGATGATGATGGATTATTTATCTTCACCGGTTGCTCTTTGCATTTTCCGCAAAAATAATGATCGCGAGTCCGTTCCAATTACCTAGAACACAATAAATAATTCGCCCCTCTAACGAGCTAAAACGCTCCGTTTTACATAACGAGATGGATGATCATAATAACAATTTTGATATCAAGCAGGAAAAAAATTCATCCACTCTCTCAAGGCCTGGAATGGTTACTAACTGCTAATTAATCGCGGCGCAGGAAGAAAAACAACCGACACACTGAAAATGATAAATCGACTTTCGGCCATTGACTAATTACCCTAATTATTTCCATTCCTTAATGCAATAAAAATGATAGAGCCCGCCGCGGACGGATCCTCCCTCGCCGGCGCTATTTATAATCGCATCAGAAATGTATTATTATCGCCCCGTCGTGTCAGTCTGGCTTGATCACGAGACGAGCTCGGCCAGGTAAATTTCGGTTTCGCGGAAAAGAAGAAGACAAAAAAATCAAATCATAAATCTCGGTCCGGCCTCCCCGAAAGTGGTGTGTTATTATTACATCATTCTCTCTGGCTGCTCCTTTTGAGCCCCAAATCCTTTTTCTCTCTTCTTTTTATGAAAAATATATAATATGCGCCAGTCGGGGTTATTCTCTTTAAGCATCTCTCGGCGTCTCTGCTACACCTTTTGCATACATTACACACTTGAGCGGAGCACGGCAAGCAAGGCATCGGCTGCGAATTTGGCGAGATTTATGCAATACGCACAGCCCATGTGTATTATACACGTCTCAAGAGCGCGTGTATATGATAAAATGTATGGAGAAGAGCGGCGCAGAGTGTTGGAGAGAGAGAAGAAAACTTATTCGCGCAGCCTCAATTATTATCTCGCCTCCGCACACATTGTGTGCCGGCGCCCTTGCGCCATTACCGAGAGGCTTAATGCGCTATTTACTGGATAATTTCGCGGTGTCTTCGTGGCAATGGCGATAAATATTGACTCTGGAACTTATGCTCATATCTATTTATGCAAATAAGAACGCAAATTATATTTTTAAAGAGCTTTGACCACAATTTTGGTTGTGAAGTGTCTCCAAAAATTACTAAAAAAAAAATACCCGCAAAAAAATAATAAATTTACTGCTCCAGCTGCTGTTTTAAGATTATATAATATTTTTTTTTTAAATTAATGCATAATTATTTTTAAATTTATTTATTCATTATTTATTTGAATTTTTATAATAATTATATATTAAAATAGTATTAATTTGTTTTGTTCACAAAAGGGACGAAATTTTAATTTGGTTGTTTTCGTATTTTTCATTCAAATGCAACCATTAAGTTGTTTAATTATCTTATGTGATATTTCAAATTTAAACAGCTGTTTCATTGTTTAATATTTTGCTCTTTTTTTTATTAAATTTAAAAAGGAATGAAAAATGTTGCAGCGAAGAGCATCTTGCAGGAAAAATAATACGCCGCCTCATTTGAGAAGCCAGCGAACCCCTTAAATGGCACTAAACTTGACAGGGGAATAATTTAATTTAAGAAATATTGCGCCTCGCCTCGTGGCAGAAACTTTTCCTCCTTAATGGTTTACTCTTTACTCCCGGAAAGAATGGCGCTCGCACCTTAAAACTTGGAAGGGAAGAAGAGTGGCGGCGGCAACTGCTACTCCGTCTTGACTCTTTCCTCTCTATCTGGATTAAAGTTTGATATAAAATGAGCCCGGCTGTTAAAAAGAGAAATGATGACGAGAAATACGATCTTTCTTTCCCCGGCCGTATAATTCTAATGGCTCCCTACGCAAGCGATGCAGATGGAATAAAAAAACGGCGGCCCGGGTGGCAGAAATGGCGAGATAGCGCCCGGAATGAATGAGTTTGCAATGAAAAATATCCACCGCAGGCCCGCTTATATGTGCCTTTTCCACGAGGGTGTAAGAAAATGATCGGCGAAGAGTAGTTTTTCTCCTCCCTCGCCAACGCTGCAACTATATAAACGGATGGTTCGCGTGGTGGTGCGGCGGGCAAGGAAAAGGTAATTCACGTGTTATATATGGCACCTTTCGTAAAATACAGAGTGCAGGCGAATTTATTGGGAAAAATTTATATCACGCGCATATTATTTCTTTCTCTTTTTTTTATCTGAGCCGTAATGCTCGCGCGATGGATGATATATAAATACGCAGCCATAAATTTTTCGCGCTCTCCTCCTTGAATGTAATTCATTGGAAATCGATTAAACGTGCCATTATGACTGCTGCCACTTCCGAGGAGCACAAGAGGGCTGCGGGATTATGTATAACTTCGCCTTCTTTGTAAAAGCAAAAGCGTTTGACCGTGATTGCGCCAGAGCCGAGTGCTTTGTCAATGGAATTCCGCAGTACACCTTTTCAGATTAAAGTGCGTCAAAGCGAGAAAGAGCAGCCACTTTTGAATATTTAAAAGCCATTTTATATTTTCTAGACGCAGTTTTTTGTTTTTAGCAAATTGCCCTTGTTAACTTTAATGGCAGCAGGAAAGTTTCGTGACAAAATTCGCAGAGGTCTCAATTATAGCCTTCGATAATTTCTCTCCAACTTGATCCTGTTTGTGTATCAAAGTTGTGTGTATATAATTTCTCTCTCCCGTGTTGCATGAATGTTGTGTTCTCAACCTTTGTTTGCTCCTATATTTCTCCTTTTTTTGTTTATTTTTGGAGCGAAATTACGGCCGACGCCAAACAGAATTATTAGCACGCACGAGATTTAATTTCGCTGGCCCGAAAAGTCCCCCGGCGCTTTTTATTTTATATCCAACGCCAGTTTCTCCAAAGGGTTTTTTTATAATATTATAAACAGCGCCATGTTTATTTTTCCGGCACGTATAAAAACAAATCTTATCCCCGGCTGCTTTTTATTGGAAATAAAAGTACCCTTTTTATTTTAATCTCGGGGACCAAATGAAAAACATAGAAATCTCTCCCCTTAACCGTCGAAAATAAAACACATCAGGCTATTTTATTATTGTGTAAACCAATCGAGCAGGTTGCGCGACAAAAGCAAGCAATGTCAACCGCGCAGGTAAATAATTTCAATCTTGTTAGCCTTTATTACTTTTGGTGCTGTCTCGTGGGGCAGTGGAACAAACCCAATTTAAAAACACGAGGGAGAAGAAGAAGGCCGGACACTTAAATATACCAGAGAGGATAAAAAAAAAAATTAGGCGTGTTCGCCTGCTCGTCACATTCAAATTTGTATATCGTGGCGAAGGTGATGCGGTCGTAAGACAATTTTAAAATTACGTCCCTCAAGTGGGAGCGATTGGGAGTAGTCAGAGCAGAGCAGGTCTGGTCGATAATTTCGTGTAGCCGCGAGCTGTATCAATACAGATGCCATGAGAGATGCGATGATGAAGCCTCCGCCTCTCTCTCTGAAGGGAGAGAAGAAGATTTTATAAAGTTAGAACCAGCCAAGCCGGCAGTCAATCCAATATTAGAGGCAATCGGTGAATGCCGGCCGCGATCATGACGTTTGATGGAACCGGTTCATTTGCATAAATATTGATTTCTGCCTGGCCCAGAGATTCTTCCTCTTTCAAAGTTGAAAAAGTTCCTGATGTATGCTCAATGATAATGGTGCTGCACCAACGGTATTCTGATTCAGAGTGGGGGGAAATTAGCATTTTTGCATCAGTGGCAAGCAGAAATAGAGAATCTAAGAATAATTTTATGCTATAAAAATATTCAAATAATGGAAATTATCCGGAAAAAATTCTCATTCATCTGAATCCAGTTTTTTATTATTTTTAAATGCAAGTTTAATTTATTTTAATTTTTGTATCCACCTTTGTACAAACATTTAAATTTACATTGACTGTTGGAAATAATAAATTTAATAAATTAAAAAATTTGTCATAGAAAATATTCCGAAAAATTTCTTATTAATCTGAATGCATATTTTTCTTTAATTTGAATGTAATTTTAATGTTGTTTTGTAAATTTTTCCAACTTCTTACTAAAATTTTACATTAAATAAGAACTTAATTCAATTCAAGTTTTGTATGGTTAAGAATTAAAAAACATTCTAATTCATCTTTCTGAATCTAAATTTTTTTAAATTTGTATTTAGTTTTGCTAATTTAACCAACTTTGTACAAATATTTTGCATTGCCTGTTGGACATTTATTTAGAAAATAATTGAAATTTTCTTATAAAAATATATATATTTTTTTTAATCTAAACAAGTTGCAAGTGAAACATTTTCAATCACTCTCTCTTATTTAACGATTTTTCGGTAATTTTTTGAGCATTAATTTGTATTTGTTCATGTTGGATATTATTCTAGTCCCTGGGCCAACTTTAGTTCAGTGCCACGTCCAAACATAGTCCATATAATAATAATTGTAATTTAGACTATTGCCATGGCGTGCCTTACATATCAAAAATCGAGGTGCAGCGGACGTTTGCAAGTCCCGCTGCGGTGAAAATTAAGACCTCACCTCGCGCGTTTTATTAAGTGGATTTGTCCTTAAACATCGGGTTACACCAGCAATTTTTTATGGCGTGTAACCGAAATTGAGCACGGCACATGTGTGTGTAATTTGGCCGCAGCCCGGAATAATAAAATGTCAAAAATTATATTCGCCGGCCA